TACATTCGGCGATCCTGTTCTTCATCGGTCCCAGATGACAGTAGTTCCTTATTAGTTTCTATGTATCTCTATAACTTCATACATATTATCTCAACTCGTATTTAAAGTATTGGGTCCCTCCACGTCAGCTGTTTTATATACTTCGTAACGACTATTGCCTTTAACATTGGTGACCTTATACGGTCCTAGGAATTCACTTGCCATATTTCGACCAGCCACGAACTGCGTACGCTTTATGGCTATCGGCCTTTCGATTCTTGTTGTAGTTGTATTTGTAATATTCTTGAGCCCTTAGTATCTTTTCTCTCGCCTTTTCCCGTACTCGTTGTTGTTCCGTTTCAAATTCGTGCAACATTTCAGCCTGAAGAGCTTTTAAAACTTGGTCATCAATGCCGTTTCTCATACGTACCCTAAACATTAATTCAAAGGGTGTCGACTTTGTAGAACTATGAATAGAAGAATTGATAGCTTTTTGCACGTTAGATACGTACTTATACCATCCTTTGGGTTCGACTGATGATAATTTAGATATTACTTCTAAAATTGTTCAGTTAACCCGTTCTATTTGCCCATTACCTCATGGGACTCCAGTAGTTGTCAGTACATGTTTGATATCATCAGTATTTACGAATTCAACAAATGTATTCGATGTAAACGCAGCACCTCGGTCATTCTTCCCCATTGATTTTGTGGCATATAGCCAAACAAACTTTTAAAATGAATCCAGGACGGCAAAGATATATTTGTATTGTTCAGATGTTGCATCCATGGGCCCGAGATGGTTGACATGCAGAATTTTTAGTGGTAAATCACCTTTTTCTACACAATGTAGAAAACCTTCTTTCTTGCCTAATTTCTTATTGTGTACGATCAGCTTACGCAATTTTTTATGAATTGATTAACTTTCATCTCGATATGTGGCATCCAATAATACTGGTGTATGATGTGCATCGTCTTCTGATTTGAGAAACCTCGTGTGCATTACGAATTACTTCAAATTCCATTGCTTTAGGTACTACTAATAAATCAACCCCGTTAACATTCTTGTAAAGCACATCACCTTTGATCTTAAAATTTTCGTAAGGTCTTGCTTTTAGTATTTCAAAAATAGCTTTCAAGTGTTTATCGCACCCTTTTCATTAAAAAGTGCTCAATATCTTTTTAATCGAGCTGAAATCTCTGATGATACTGACAAAATTTGTGGATAGCGGCTTACACAATCCACATGACGCAAGTACTGCTGCTTCTGTGCTCAATTTCATAAGTGTAATCTTGCATGTACATGAACCAGTTTACAACGTCGCGTGGTATATCTGTTTTATTAGTAACCGCAATCGGTTACTAATTTAAACGGAATACCCAATAATTAATGTCGAAATTTTTTCGTCGCAAGATAAGCTGCTTTAACTTCTAAAATGTAGCTATGTTGTTTCTCTTCAAGTTCAGATGTTTTTTTACTCCAATACGTCGCACCGAAACCGTCTTTTGAAGCGTCTGTGTGCAATTCTGTTGGCGCATTTCACCGATATATATGCAAAATCGGTTCTTGTGTAAGTATGTGCTTCAGCTTTTCTACCATATTTAATTGTTTAGCTTCCATCTAAAATGGCGTCTCCTTTTTCAGCAGACTTGTGAGTGGACACGCAATTTGTGCGTATCCTCTGACAAATTTTCTAAAGTACCCTGTCAACCCCAAAAACGACTGAAGGCTTTAATGTTTTTCGGCGTTGGTAACTTCATTATGGCTTTAGTTTTGTTTTTACCGGGTCAAATTTTATTATTTTCAATGCAATGTCATTAAAAATCAATTTTCATTTGTAAAAACTGCATTTTTTCCACTTTATTTTAAGGCCCCATTTGGCGGCTGTATTTAAAACCATTCGCATTTTACTCAAGCATGATTCAACAGATTGCGCGTAAATTACAATATCGTCAATATATAACTCCATTATATCTTAATTAATCAACGGCTGAAAAATACTGCCAATGTAACGAATAAATACGGCTGGCGAATTGCAAAATCCGAAAGGCATATTGGCAATTTTCGCATTGGTATTGTGAAAAAATCCGTTTTCCAAATCCATTGTCGTAAAGTACTTTGCACCTTGCAACTTCAACATAACTTCTTCGACAGTAGGCATTGGGAATCGATCTTTGAACACCATTAAATTCAACTTTCTAAAGTCTTCGCATACTCTGTATGTGTTGTCTGTTTTTGTTGTCACCACAATTCTGCTCACTACATATGATTTGGACTTTCGCACAATGTCCTGTTGTAACCACTGATCTATTTGGTTTTCGACGAATTCTTGTTCAACTGGTGGTAATCTGCTAGGCGACTGATGAAATGGTTTCATGTTACTATCTGGTGTAATTGTTAACATAACTGAGCTTTCATCATTGCTCTCTGATGTCTTATAATTTTCTATTAATTCTTTTACCTCATCTTTGTATTTTAATGGCACGGCACGTCTATTTCCAGTGCAGTTTCAATAATATTGCAAACATTGTATTCGGTTAAAAGTTTGTGTTCGTGTTCGTAACTTGGCTTGATATTTGTAAAAATATATCCGTTTTCACCCGACGTATAGCAAAATTTGCGCACAACATCATAACCTTTTGGCACAACAACAATGTTTTGTTTTATTTTAAAATTGTCTACAGAAATATGCCTATAAACTGTCCGATAGGTATTGTTTTTGCGTTACCAAAACCAAGAAGCGTTGTTTTATTTTTACGTAAATCAATGCTCTTTAATTTATCAAAAATACATTTCGTAATTATTGTGGCATCGGAGCCAGTGTCGATTAAACAATTAATTTCTAATTCGTTTGTATGAACGCGTTTAACACGGTCTTCTTGAACAATTACATTGATACTCTTATTTACACGTGTACAATCTTTTGAGATATGACCAGTATTGTTACAACTAAAACAATTCGTTTCAGTACGGCAATCTTTTCCTTTATACTTCATAGAGTCACAGTTAAAACAGTGTTCTTTTTTATATTTATTTTTATATGCGTTTATATGTTCATTTGCATTCTTATATTGCTTGTCTTTTGGTTTCTCGTATTTTTTTATACGCTCGAAAATTTCATGTTCAGCTTTGTGTTCATTAAATGTTTTACAGTGGTATAAAAAATGTTTATGTTCGTATTTGATTTTTAAACCGTCAACTATATAACGAATTACTGAGATTGTGTCGAGTTTTCTGCGAACTGCAATAGTTTTCATATGTAAAACGTATTCGGCGAAGATTTCACTTTCGCGTTTTTTTCTCTCACCTAATTCTTTGTGAATATCAGCACTTGTGTATACTTTTTTGAATTCTTCTATTAACATTTGTTTCAGCTCTTCATATGTTACTCACTCACCGTTACTGTTTCTAAAAATAGTTTTGCAATTGATGTCATTTTTGCTCGTGCTTACACGAATTTCTGTTTCGCACTGAGCCCGTATTGTAATACCGTCGAAATCCTTTCTTTTTATTTTTTTTTCTTTCTCTTACTTGTTTATTTTCAGTGTATTGTCTATTAACTGTATTAATTGCTTTAAATCTGTTTCGCTTTGCATGGTTTCTACGTTATTTATTTCAACTTCTTCTTCTAGGTCTTCGTATTCTGTTCTACTAATGCTGCTGTCTGCTGGTTTGATTTCTTTTTCTGCTTCATTCGTATTTGTGGTTCTTGTTTGAATTCGTCGCGACTTTCTGACGTCCTCCGTTATTTGTCCTTGTACTCTTTTTGTTATGTTTGGACAATTTTTCCCGTTCATCCGTTATTTGTTCGGGTGGCGCGTCCACTTTTTACAAACCTATGTTCGTTCACCTTGTTCTTAAATGCAACAATAGTATTAGCACGTAGGTTATATAAAACAAAAAATTGTTAATAACAAATTATGCGACTCGATTTTAATGTTAAATTATCGCTGTATTTGATGCATTGATTTTAGTATATTTTCACACTTATCAGTTATTAAACACTAACTTTTAAGATTCTCATACACTTTTAATTGTATTATAACATATTTTGTTTGGTTGACCCCCAAATGTAAAAGCTAAGCGCAAAAAATATTACATAAAAATTAAATGTATGTACACGTCTGCTGAGTACCGACTTGACTTCTAATACCGACTGCTTACGATCGACTACTGCTGCCGACTGCCTACTCCAGACTAATTACTACTACTGCTACTTGGCTGCTTGACCGACTTCTTCTTGACTGCTTAGTCGACTTCTAGATGACTGCTTAACCTGCTTATATACATATCTCGAAGCTCATGTCTTGCATAGCAGACGCATTCGATTGAAAGTTGTGTACTCTAAGCGCAGCTACTCATTTATTTATTTCATTCTTTTTTATTTCTTCTCTTTGTTTTGTGCTCTTTCAATTTTAACTGATGCCGTATATGAGTTGATCTAATTTGCGTTCTAATTGAGGGAAATTCTAAATTGTGCCGATAATGTAGTCAAAAGTTAGTATTTAGAATATTTTCAACGTGACTAAATCGTGCCTAAATATTTTCATAAGATGTGTAATGAATAAACAAGTGAATTTAAGGCCGTCTGCGAGTTCGAGTAAATTGAGGTAAAGTAAATTAAAATTTCCTAGGGATTTTTTGCACTGCACTTATATAAATATTTATTTATTTATTTATTGCACTTATTTATTAGTTTTGGTTAAAAGTTTTAAAATTTATTTATTTATTTGCAGTATAACCGCCTTTTATTACACGTTTATTATTTATATATTTTAATGTAAATACGTATATGCAAAAATCCGACTGCCACTCTTTTTCGTTTGTTTTCGTGTTCTTGACTATGTTTTCAGCTACTCTTCTTCTTCTTATATATTTTGTATGATTCGTGTGTTGTTCGTGTAGTTTCTGTGTTATTTTGTGCTATTTGTGTGTCGTTTAAGTGTTGCCATATTGGTCGCCACACCACTCTTCCACCAGTGGCTGAGTGGAAGCGATGTCACGATATATGCAACTGATTTTATGTCGTGACTCTGACAGGTAAACGAATAACTCTGCCGCTGGAGGCACTGCGACTTGGGTTGAGTTCCTGCTGAAATGTTTGTAATGGTTGTGCATCTGGGCTTGACTGAAATGATGTAGATCGCGGAAACTGCGTGGTTGGATCGATTTCATCAGTCAACAAGTAAGCTGCTTTTACTCTGTCAATGCTGACTTGGACAGGTCGGTTTTTGATGAAAATGATAATAAGCTTAAGATATCGCCGTATCACTTTGAATGGTCCGTCGTAAGGTGGTTTTAAGGGAGGTCGTACGTTATCGCCCCTCAGGAACATGTGTGAGCACGTCTGGAGGTCTCGTTGTACGAACGTCTCCGTTTTGCCATGGTTTGAACCTGAAACCGGACGTAATTGATTCATAGTTTCCTTTAGAAGCGTTGCGAATTCGGAGTCGTATCCGTCGTGGGATGTCTTTTCAAAGAATTCTCCTGGGAGTTTAAGAGATATACCGTATACCATCTTGACTGGGCTAACTTGGAGGACGTCTTTGTACACACTTCATAAAGCTAGCAATATCAGTGGTAGTTCGTCTGTCCATCTTTGGTTTTGTCCACATTTCAATGTTGCTTTCAATGTTCTGTGGAATTGTTCCAGGATTCCATTTGATTGTGGGTATCGCGCAACGCTACTGCTACAGTGTGTACATGGATGTCCATAAGGAGAATAAGAACGGACCACCGGGTAAACCGATCTATGTATGTTAGGCAATACCGCATACCATTGCAATAGGTCAAAGGTCCCACGATATCAATATGTACATGCTCAAAACGTTGATTAGGAAATAAACGTTCTTGTGATTACTATGCGTTCGAATGTGGTGCTAAAAGTTGATAATAATATTATTTTATTTTGTTGAGACTTCAGTAGACAAAGTAACGTTGTATTTAACAACAGTAAAAACCAAATATACACAAAAGTGCTTGCGATCAGTGGAACTTAAAATTATATTCAGCGTTAAGCTAGGTTAAAAGTTATAGAAAATATACTAAGTATAAAGCTCAGAGTGGTTTATGTCTGTGCTGTCGAGTTTGTGTGACAAACCGAATTTTAAGCTTTAAAAGAAAACACAAGCAGAACATATGAACTTAAAAACTTTGCAATTATATTATAATATAAAACAAAACAAATATATAAAATATATATAAAAAAAAAAGAAAAAGAAAAAATGCCAGTTGAAAGATCGCCAACAGTTACAAAAAACATCGCTAGTAAATCGGACCTGTGCACACCGAATAGACAATCACAGAGGCAAGAAAGGCGTATATGATCTGAGCTTTCGCTCGGTGATGTTATGCAGGCTATTCAACAAATGACAGAAAAATTTGAATCTAATATTGCAGGCCTGAATATTAACTTTGATTCGCAAATATTAGGTGTACCGGTATGAAATGAGCGTTTTTTGGTAAAAATAAAACACTAATTATTAATAGGAAAGTAAAAAACATTTTATTCAAAGTATTGGCCATTGCTTTCTACACATTTTGACCACTTTTCTGGCAATTTGTGGATACCACGCCAAAAAAAATTGTTAGTCTTTTAAAGCAAACCAACCAGACACCCAATTTTCGACCTCCTCGTAGGAATCAAAGTGCTGCTCAGCCAATGCGTATCCCATCGATGAAAACAAAAGGTAGTCAGAAGGAGCCAAGTCTGGTGAATACGGCGGGTGGGGTAGCAGCTCTCAGCCAAGTGTTTTGATTGCATCCTGAACCCGTTTTGCTTTGTGTGCAGGTGCATTGTCATGGGCCAGAATTACCTTGCCGTGTCTTCTGGCCCATTCTGGTCGTTTCTCGATCAATGCATGGTTCAAATTTATCATTTGTTGTTCATAGCGACCAGCATTGACGGTTTCACCAGGTTTTAGGAGCTCGTGGTACACCACACCTTTCTGGTCCCACCAAACACACAGCATTGACTTCTTGCCGAATCGATCTGGTTTTGCAGTCGATGTTGATGGTTGTCCTGGATTAACCCATGATTTTTTCCGTTTAGGATTCTTAAAATAAATCCATTTTTCATCGCCAGTAACAATCCGATGCAAAACCGATTTTCCTTCGTGTCTTTGAAGCAAAATTTCACAAGTGTTTTGCGGTTTTCCATCTGTCTTTCATTCAATTCATGTGGCGCCCATTTTCCACACTTTTGGATCCTTCCCATAGCTTTTAAACGGTCAGAAATTGTTTGTTGTGCAACATTTAACATTTCTGCCATTTGCTTTTGACCCAAAGTGTCATCTCCATCCAATATCGTTTGCAATTCGGCGTCTTCAAACTTCCACGTTCTTCATTTCTCACATCAAAATCATTATTTCTGAACCGTTGAAACCATCTTTTGCATGTTGCTTCTGATAGAGCATGATCACCATATGTCTCGACAAGCATTCGATGCGACTCTGCAAGTGGTGCAGAGTCTTCAAATGAAAACAAAAAATTAATGCTTTCCGCAAATCATGTAGCTATGCTAGCATCAAAGAGTGACATATGCGAACTTAAGGAACAAATGGGCAACGTGTCACTGAAAATATAAAAATTGGAAAACGAGATGAGGACAGGAGGGAAATTGGAAGACTACTCGAACAAAGTAAAAGTCGTAATGTACTAGGGAAAGGTCTACTGAAAGACGAGACAAAATGGCTATGACAACTATTATAGTTCGAGACACATACGTGATATTTGAAAAGAAACAAAAAGTGGGTGTGATCGCAGAATTGAAAATTTCAGAAATGGCAAAAGATGTCCTAAAAAATGGTAGAAAACTACATGGCACTCAGATTTATTTTGAAAAGGACTTAAGCTTGTCTAGACAGGAAAATAATTCTGCTTTATTACAACTGAAGAGAGATCGTGAAGCCATCAAAAACACACAAAATTTATATTAAAAATGACAACATATATATATCAGGAAAATGGATGCATATCGATAAAAATAAGAAACTAAAGTGCAAAGAAGGTGACGCTTTGAAGGAATTAAAACAATTGTTTGGTGAGATTGAAGTGAAAGAAGTGATCGAGAACAACACGCTATTTAAGAAAATAAAACAGCCAAAAAACTGTTAGCAGTAAGGAAAATAGTCGCGTCAAATCGGAGAACACTGACCTACATTTTGCCAATAAAAATCAAATATGTCAAACAAAAAAATAAATACTATGAAATTCAAAAAAATGCAAATGCAGACAAGTCAGACATTAAATTAGCATATAAGTTTAAAATATTATCGTATAATGTAGCTGGTGTAACAAATAAGTATAAGTATATAGAATTTATGAATTATGTTAAAAAATTCGATATATTTGTTTTATTTGAAACATTTTGAGTAGGTAAGACAGATTATATTGAAAATACATTTAGTGAATACAATTCATTGGGAGCCTGCAACTAGAACAACAAGTAGAGGTCGAACCAGTGGAAGAAAATTGTATGGTGTCCGAAAGCAATTGCAATATTGCGGTACTGTGAGATAACCACCAATAATCAAAAATTATGTTTAATCCCAGTTTATCTAAATTGCAATAACTGACAAAATGATTTCAATAACTTATGTGATATATTAGTGGAAGCTCAGAACGAAAATATGATGATAACTGCTGACTTCAATGCACGAATATGCGAATAACATGCAGTGGTCTGAAGTATTGGACCACAAAGTAGCAAACAATTACAAGAAATTTGCAGTTCATTTGGTGTCACCGTGTTAAATGGCCGCACTAAAGGCAATAGAGAGGGTACATTCACGTTTATCAGAGGTGTAGCAAGATCAACGATAGATTATTGTTTTGTGAAAGGAGTATGGTTAATAATAACTGAACAGTTTCAAATACATGACATGATGTACTCGGATCATCAGCCACTAGAAATTGTGGTAAATCTAGATGCCTCTATTGCAAAATTTATTGCAAAAAACACGAAGTTATATGTTTTTTACGTAGATCTTAAAGCAGTTTTTTACAAACTTAGGCAGCTGGGTCTTTAAACCAATATTTTGAAAATACTGCAAAGTCTATACAGCAACAATGAGTCAACAGTATGGGACGGAAAATGTACTTCGAGATGGGTCCAAACGTGTGCCGGAGTGAGACAAGGTTGTGTCTTAAGCCCTATATTGTTTGCACTGTTCGTTGATGACTTAAGTAAATTTCTTTCTGGTGGTATTATGATTGTCAACATGTGCCTAAAAGTACTATTATATGCTCATGATATTGTACTATTTGCAGATTCTCCAATAATATTACAAAATATGATATATGAATTAAACAGATATTGCAACTTATGTGGACTATCTTTAAACACAGACAAATCAAAAGTGATGATATTTAAGAAACATGCTAGAAGATTGAGAATGAGGAAAAATGGAACCTTTACGATGATCAATTAAAAGTGGTTAATAATTATAAATATCTAGGAATAAATATGAAATATAACGCAAAATTCGATAACCACTTAAACGAGAAGTTAAAGGAAGCTAAATTGGTTATTAATTGTACTTGGAAAAATGTCTTGGGAAATCCGAAAGTGTCACTGCCCGTAAAATACAAAGCTTTTGAAGCCACAGTTAAATCAGTTCTAAATTATGCAGCGCAAATCTGGGATGTGGATAAATATGATGCAGTAGAAAAATTGCAGATATTTTATATAAGGAGAACATTTCGTTTGCCAAAAAATACCCTAAATTATATGGGGCTTATAGAGACTGATCTACCGACGCTATATACCCAAACATTGAAATTGCATTTTGGTTACATCAATCGTGTTAAGAATTTGCCAGGCAATCGGATTCAAAAAACATTAGTGCAGCACCTAATAAATGAAAAAAGATTATTTTTTGAAAAATGGTAGGATCTGGAATCCGAGCTAAATGTGACTAATGATTAGACTATGGATGATAACTGTAAACTGTGGCAGAAAAATAAAATAACGAAACTAAGTATTGAAGAACGTAGAAATTTTGTAGAAGCGGCAAGAAAACATATATCAAATGATGCATATTGAAGCTGAATTATGATCTCGGTATCAATAATTACTTTCACGAGCAATACGACGTAGAAACAATAAGGACAATTTTCAAAACCAGAGGCGAGCTCCTACAATTGTGCTATGTACAGTACGAAAGTCAAGACACGCTGTATACGATATGCAACCTTAAATTGAAAGGTAATGCAATACACTTAGTAGGCGAACAATTTTTAAAGAACACCGGTTGCTGTACTTCGGTAAACCTACGCTCAATGTTAATGAAACCATACTGATACTGAAACCATACTGATACTTGCTAAAAATGCATTAAAATACAGCCAAAATATTATTAACGAAGATTTTAAATTAATTTATTTGAAATCTATTATATTTGGTATAATAATTTAATTTAGTATTTATATTGTATTGAGTTTAAAAATAATAATATTTATTTAATATTTATAAAAAATAGTTATTAAATTAATCTAAACTTCCGGCAGACGGCTAAAATGCCATAGCTGTAAGCTTTATATATATAATATAATTGTTACTCATTTTAATGTAATACAACAAATTTAAAATGAAGTAAAAATAAAGCTATGAATACTAAATACTACTACATGTTAGCTGTCAAAATGCAACTCTCACACTTCTTTGAACTTTGTTGTTAAATGTGTGCAGCACAAAAAATCTCAATAAAAATCCCTTTCAGTTTAGCATAAAATTAGAAAAATTCGCACACGACCTATATTTCAATTTTCTCTTTGAATAAGTAAAAAGAAATTTGTATGTTGTAAGAAATTGTATTTTTATTTATTTTATATAATAATTTTTACCATTATATATAAAATTTAAAATTATAAGTTTAAAATTATATGAAAAATAAATGATAAATTTTATTATAATTTATAAATTTATTTATATTAAAAATAAACTAAATGAAACAATGAAACTTATTAACCAATAAGTAAAATACAAATTAACTTAAATAATAATTCCGTAGTTCTGTTACAAAATCACTGAATGATTTTCATTTTTTGTTACTTCTGTAAATTGAAAAGAATTGTTATTTTTAAAATGCAGCTGTGTTGAAAAAATATTCCGTAAGTACCAAAAATAGCATATGCATTAAAAATATTTTGTATTCATCCTGTTTATCACAATCATGCTTATGCTGAACATACAGCATACTATACAAGCAACTTAGCATCGAGTCTCACACTCTTTTATTTTAATACTTTTCAATTACTTCGTTTGGTGTTTTTTCGTTGTCGCAGTTTCGTGGGTTTACGCTTCACATTTTTTGGAAAATTACATGAATAATTTAGAAAATATGTAATAAAACTATTAAAAAAATAAATATGAATGTTTATATAAATGTTTACTATAAATTTTATGTGAACACTTTTCAAAATGTTAAAAAAATGGTAAATAAAAATCTTAAAACCTGAATGGTGTAAAGAAAATTTATATTCTGTGTGTGCGTATTTTGTGCAAGTGTTTGTATCGGTAAGCGCCAAGAAAATGTTCCAAAAGATAACGCAATTTAAGTGAAAACCGAAATAAAGAGCAAAGCGAATGAAATGTGTAAATAAAGTCAATGTAAAAACAAAGTAGAAACAATATATATAAGGAAGATTTTGTAAAAATTTGCAAGAGCGGCAGTGTTGCATTCCATCAAAGCAATAAAATGTTGTGTTTGTTTCATTATTAATTTGCAATCAGAAAATTCAAAATCTAAAATTTTATTGTTTTATTATATGTCCACGAAGTATATTTTGCTACATATTCTTAACAAACATTGTCCACAGATTTTTAATACGACATTTAAATAAAAAACAAAAGGTGAGGATTTTTAGCTCTCTTAAGATCATTTTGTATATTAACAATAATATAACGATTAATAACATTTTATTGTTCACGACTTATGTTTAGGCGTGGTAGTCTATCGATATATAACTTTAAATACGTTTTATATTATTGGTATGATAAGCATCGAAAACTAATTAAAACTACTTTAAAAATAAATAAACAACTAGAAGTATTAAAATGTTTAAAATAATGTGTATGAAACCTAACTAGAAGTAAATAAGCTGTGTATGTGGTCTAACCATATGCGCACTAAATAATATAGTTTAAACGTGAAATGAATTTATTATGTATTAATAAATGCGATATATATGTTTTACATTCTTTTGCAACTATTCTTATTGCGATCTCTTAATTAGATGCATATAGTTTAATTACTCAATAAATGAAATAAAAGTAATAAAATTGTTTTAAAACAATTATTCAAAATTGCAAAAAATTAATTTAATGAAGATTTAAGTTTACTGTTCGTAGTTTTATTTATATAAAAGGAAGTAAACAGTTAAAAATGCATGTAGTAGTCTTTATTCTTTTTCATACCCGCAGAGTTCACCCTGTTTAATTACGATGATAATGTGAATTAGGCAATTTGGAAGCAAATTAAGTGGAAAGTTTATTTTGTACAAAATATTAAGGTCTTATTAAATAGCAGCTGCTTTCATTCAAAAATGTCGCAGTACAAAATTTCTACGTTGAACTTCTGAGTTATGCTACGTTCTCACCCTGATCTCCTGCAGCTGTTCTATTGTATTCCCTTTTCTTTTCTCATTTGGTTCGCCTTTGACTTGTTTTGATTTTTTTCAGTTTTTAGCGTTTGTTGATTGTTCTACGTTACATATGAATCATAGGTTTGGTTGGTACACTTAAGTTAATAGTTATTAGCGTTCGATTAAAAATGCGTTTTAAGTTTTACGAGCGTTTATTCCTGATACACGTTGCACTTGACATTGAAGTTATATTTTTATCACTAATTTTTCACAGAATTTTATTTAAATTTGTATTATATTTTTTTTTTTTTCTTCTATCATTTCTTCAGTTTTTTTTATTTCATTTGCTTCGCCTTTTCTTTTCATTCCGTTTTTGTACTTAGACACAAAAGTTTCCTTCAAATTTCAATAATTATTCGCAATTTGTATCTATTTTGCGATTTGATTTTTGTTTTTAGCTGTATTAATAGATTTAATAGATTCCAAAAAAATGTGTGTTTTGTTTCTGTTGTGATATTTATATTCTATGTCATCTTTTATATTGTTTGTTGTCATAAAAAGTGCCAATATAAATAAATTAAATGCTGTTCTAACATTCATTAATAAAATGATTTTGTTTTTGCATATGCTCTTAAATCCTGTACTCGTATTTGCATTGTCGTTTGTCATCTTGCGAAATGTTATTGATTAATTCAAAAAGTCAGACACTGAATTTTTTTAATGATTTGATTTGTGGCAAATATAACAATAATTAATTAAAAACAGATTAAAAAGTTTTTCATCGCTGTACCGAAATATTCTAAAAGTGCAATAAATGAAAATATGTTTATATATCGAGCAATATAACATCGGAATAAATTGCGAGTTATGTGTAAACTAGAAAGTAAGGGAGAACAACATTTTTAACAAATTCTTTATTAATAATTTTAGTAGTCATACCATATCAATAAGTAAAATTTCTAAATATCACAATTATTGAAGATGCCTTAATAACCTATAAATAATAACTTTGATTTGATTTGTAATATTTGTAATTATACATATTTGGATACATGTATAATTAACTGAATTTGCTTGATTTTTTTAAACAGAATTTAGATAATAAGCTGTACTTCCATGTATTACGGTTGAAAAAATATAGATCAAGATATTTTTGTTTACATTTAAATTTATTTAGTAAGAAGTCTAAATATAGAAATCCATATGTATTAGGACTTAGTGTGTTATAACTATAGTCTAAGTTGACTGTGTTCTATAATAAATAAATACATGTACAGTAAAAACTATTTCAACTAGACCAGACACTCATCATTCCGCTCATTCAAATGGGGTATCCCTCCAAAAAAATCTAGTTCAAGAAAAATTATTAGAAAGACAGACGTCTATAAGGATGGTTTTTATTATATTAATAGTAGTTTATTATTATTCTTATTTTCAAAATTAAAACAAAAAATCAGATACAAATATTTTTTTTGCTTTTATACTTTATTAAAAGATTTGCAATATGTTAAAAATGTTTAAATATTTTATTTTGTGCTATTTTCATATGCGCTCATTATTAAGCTTCTTGTTAAAATTGAAAATTCTTCGAATTTAAAAGATTCTGAAATTTTTTCCATCACAAAATAAATACGACAGAAATGAACTGCATTGGTTTTTGGAAGAGTTCCACCACGTACTGTGATGCTTTCTTTTCCGGGTGATGGAACAAAAATATCCTTGTAATATCTTGTCCCATTGTAAAAGTCTAAGTTCTATGAACTGCTTTCCAGTAAGAAAGATAAAAGTAGTAGTTGATGTACATAATATTAAGAAATATGATTTTATCTAAGCTATTGTGGTTAAACGTAAACTTTAATAAAGAAAACAGTGAGAAAACTGTAACTTAGCAGTTTCGAAAATAATTGGATAAGTACCAATTTACATTATGCTTGTACTTATAATAAATATAATGACAATATTGACATTGATAGCTATTGTCAAGTCAAAATATTATTACAATGGTTTATCGTAAATAATTCATCGAAAATGTCAGTTTTTACTGAAGAATTATCGTGAATCACTTTATTTGCATAATGTAAATCATAATCTTCTATTACTGTTTTTTTTTTGATTGTGTTGAAAACATCAAACCGGGACCAAATGTAAATGAGATATTAAACCATAAATTATAACAATTTGGGAAAAAACGATAGTGTATATTGGGTGTATCCTACAATAATAAAATAAAGAACAAAAATATGGAAATCAAAATATATATAACTATATAAACAGTGTGTTACTTTAAAAAGTTTCGAAAGTAGCCTTTAAACAATAGGTGTATTCGTCCGCTCTGAAGTGTTGCAAAAGCTACAAGTCGCTTGCATTTTCGATTGGTAAATCTGGATTCAATCTAGATTTACTCACGATCTGTCGAATTTTATTGCCCAATTGAAATTTTTAAAGTAATCTAAAAAATTTGTAGTTGTATTTATCAAGTTATATAAAACAGCTGTTAATACCTAAACTCAAGTGTTAAATATTTCGCTAACAATTTACCAACCGACAATGAAAATTGCACTAAAAGCGAATATCCATTGAAAAAGTTAGCAATCGAAAAGAACATTAGTGACATATTGGCATTACTGTTGCAATCTGTAAAATATTATATTTTCACAATTACCAAGACATTCGTATATGCGGCAAATTTAAGGCAAACTGAATTTTGTATAAATTTAAATGTTAAAAAATTAAATATTGAAATGAATAGCGTATTAAGAACAATGACCAGAATGCAGGAAACTTTGAAATTTCCTGTTACAACAAAATCAATTGTAGTTAAAAAGATTTACACCTTTAAATCATAAACTTGTTAGCAATTAACAATTAATAAAACTCTTTTGATGTATTCTTATAAATTTGGATATATTTTTAAAATATTTATATTCTCTAAAATTTTAACGTTTTTATAATATTTCTATTTCAAATTTGTGAAATAAAATTTAAATTTGGAATTCTAAACTCTAAACAACTTTTGACGGATAATTGGAGTATTTGTTGAAATTTGCAATGAAAGTTCACAATAGATCATAGATCGGTTTGATAATATTTTTTTCTACAGTCTCCAATTTGTTTAGACACTTCATAACTAGAGAGTATTGTTGTTTTGCTTACAAATTAGCGACTTTAAGCAAGTGACTTGTTTTTTTTTTTTGTTCAACTTTAGAGCGGCCAAATACACCTAATAAATATATAATAAAAACAAAATTCTGGATTATTAACATAAACTCTGGATAAAGGTCTGGATTCGATGGATCCACACCGAATTGAAACAAGTCATTTTATAAGCCTGGTCGATGAGTGCTTTATCATGGGTTTAGCTTTATAGGACTTTAAATATTGCAAATAATTATTATTGCAAGATTGTTTTCATATTCTTGTATTATTTTTTGTGTTCTTAATGAGACTTAAAATATATAATTTTATATTCATCATATAAAACATAAGCTGTGTTGACCGCTTTGGCATTTGTATTATTTGAAAAAATAATATAAAAATTGAATACTCTATGGTCACTAAATTCGTCAGTAATATGACAGAATGACAAAATATCGTTGCTAGTTAATTTTTTTAAAATTATAATCTAATTACACATCCAAAATTATAATGTAAAAATAATTCTTTTTATGATTTATGATTTTTCAGATGCAACAATGAAAAGCAGCTACCAGCGATTATTAACAAACACTAAGACATCAATAACAATTTCTAAAATTAACGAAGGGTTGACTAAATATCTAAGGATTGCCAATATCTAAAGCTGAAATAAAAATTTGAAGTAAATGAAAACTATGTAAGACGCTGCATAAGAAGGGGTAAAACGAATTTTAATTCACTACATAACTTTACAAAAAGTTGTCATAAAAAGACAGCAAACGGAAACCAACCACATGCAAGAATAAAAATATTACTATTAAACTACACGCTACACAGGAGGGAATCTTAAATGAGAAAAACTTGAAATATAAACAGTGAAACCAAAAAAGTCTCATTTTAAGTTGAAAAACAACTTAAATCCAAATAAGAGAGAGAAACACAATGCACCTTAAATAGAGAGTGAAAAAGTCAGAATAAATAAACAAAAACGAGCAGGGATAGTGCACTTTAAAGTCAAGAAAAAAACTATTTTAAAGGAGAAGAATCAAGAAAGTCGTATCGTTAGCGTTGGTCACGCGAGATACGGTAACAAATAGGGAACAGCAAGCTGTTATATTCAAAAACAGTAAGAAAAGAAAAATATTTGAAAGGCAGCTGTTTGTTGTTGGCTGTTTGCCTTTCGTGCAATTTCAACGTTTTATTCCCAAGGGAGAGTAGAATAGGTGAGAGCAAGTAACCTGAAACATACTCTTGTGTATAGTAAATTTGCTCACCTCATATTTCGAATAAACGCGGTGTTTAAACGCGAAAAATTAATAGTTTGGCGAACATTATCAGGTTTCTTGATATTGTTCTTAGTCACAACTGTTAAGGAAAAGTGCGGCACAGCACCTTTGTGTGCCGCCGTGAAAAATTTGCAAATGCAAATTTTATGTTATTATGGGCCGTTCCAAGTTTCCAGGGAAACCATCAAAGTCGATTAATCGTAAACGCATTAGTGTGTTGCAAATTGATGATGAGGGGTTGGCAGAGCAGCAGGAAAACACGACAGACGTGCCCACAAATCGTAGCAATAGAAGCAACAACAACGATGATGATGATAATGAAAATGATACGAGAAATGGTGGTAGTACCAGTAATGGAAGGGTTGCTGATGCAAGTAGTACTGACGGCGCAAGTGGATCGCAAAGTAATCAAAATGTAAACGGTAAGAATACTGAAGATGGCAAAAGTTCAAATGGCGATAGTGGTTGCGCAGGTAATAGCAATAGTAATAGTGTAACCGAATCAAGTTTGGAGTTATACAATGATGCGCTACCTTTAAGTGATGAAACTGACGACGATAGAAGCAATGATAAATCTCGTGAAATGTATAAAAACAAAAAAAAAGAAGAAGAGGAAAAAAATGCTAAAGAAAACAATGAAAATTATACAATTGCAGCAAATAAAAGATCTTTACAATCAATAACAACGATGCCATCCTTATATACTGATGTTTCTACACCAACAGTAATGGCCTGTGGTAACAAAACCTGTAACAGAAAATTCAAAACTTTTAACCTTACCAAGGCAGATATGATGAGACCTTCCTTTCCTAAAGTGAAACAACAGCAACAGATAAAAATAGATTCTCCTGCATCCTTTACAGGAAAGCCTGTTGTTATAGAGTCTAAGGCAATTATTGAGACTGATGCTGATGACGATTCAATGGATGACTACAGTACAACAGTATGTTTTTATTAGCACATTAGTTTCTTATTTCACACGATTGTTTTACACAATTATGCATTTTTATATTATATTTTAATTTAATTTGCTTAATTTTTAATGTGCTTTCTTTTATCGCATTGTTTTATTTCAATTGTAATTTTTTTTTTTTTACTTTATTATGTAGAAATTCAACTTTTGTTTCAAAAAAATGATTAATAGTTATAGAATTATGTGCAGTAGTCTTCCAAGGTAACCAATAATCCCATTTAACGAACAAAAACATTTTGTTATTGCGTTTTAGATTTAATAAATCGATTTCGTTAAATTGGGCTGTTGTCCAATATGTATCTTATATATTATTTAAGATCAATTATCTAAAATTTCATTTATTACCACGAATAATTTAATCACCAAAATAATAAACAAACATTTATCACTTATTAAGTACCAAAAATAACTAAGTACTAAAAAATATAAATTTCGTTAACTTAATCCATTTTATTGCACAACAAATTATTATTTCACTCATTTAGCCTTAAAATCGTTAATGACTACATTGTTGAAGTAGAACTTCTTACCCTACAGAATCATTTTGAGATACGTGAGCAGTTGACAGTTACTGAATGCCAAATTATACCAATCTAAGTATAGTTCATGCAATTTGGGGATCGTAACCAAGAACTCTGGACACGTTGTATCGTCTTGGGGAAAATGTCATATACTTTTTAAGGCATTGTTAGGTTCGCACAAAATTTTTTTTTATTAAAAAAAAATGTTGACGAATAGATGAAGTTAATTTCGTCTCATTATTTGCAGCGACGAGTAGACTAGTAAAAGTTTGCTTATGTTGGCAAAAAAGTTAAATTTAATTTCATCATTTTTTCCAACACAATTTACATTCACATCTAACACTTCGTTCAATAATGTGTGTGACTAACTAATTAAAACACATTTTTTTGCCAAAATTCGTTTTTATTCATCAACATAGTCCCCTTTTAGGGAGATACAATCATTTCAACGCTTTTGCTTTTGTAAAACGATTTTTCTATGCCTTCAAAATAGGCGTTAGTTTCGGCGATTATTTCATCATTTGAGCCAAATCTCTTACCACGGAGCATCTTTTTGAGGTCTGCGAAGAGCCAGTAGTCGATGGGGGCCAGATCAATTCGTTCACTTTTGCCATCGTTTTCATCGACTTGTGACACGGTGCATTGTCTTGGTGGAACGAAACTGTTTTCTTCGCCATATGAGGCCGTGTCTTTGCGATTTCGTCTTTCAAACGCTCCAATAACGCTATATAATAGTCGCTGTTGATGGTCTTCCCCTTCTGGAGATAGTCGATGAATATTATTTCATGCGCATCCCAAAATACAGACGCCATAACCTTACCACTCAGCAGACTGCCGATTTGACTCTGGAGTGAAATGATGGATCCATGTGTCATCCATCGTGATGTACCGACGCAAAAACTCCGACTTCCGTCCAGTAGATGGAATGTCATCGGTGTCTGTACGACCACGTTTGAATTCGGCATACCAATAACAAATGCTTCTTTTTGATGGAGCAGAGTCCGAATAATGTTTTTCAAGCCATTCCTGGCATTGAACAGTATTTTTTTTCATTAAAAAACAATGATAAAACAGCACACGGAATTGCTTTGAATTCATTTTTTTTTTGAAAACTCAAAAGTAGCGTCACTTAAAGCACTGTAACTTGTAAACAAATGGTCGGTTTAACATATGATTTTGACAGTAAGACTAAAAAGGTTGCCACTTTTGAAAAAAAATATTTATTTAGTATTAGTGCCGCCATCTATGTGTCAGTCACACACATTATTGAACAAAGTGTTATACATTGAAGCTAGTTGATCTAAAATTGCGGAATTTTCTCCCTAAATATTTTATAATTTTGTCAACCACCAGTTATAACATAGCGCGAGGTGCGCGTATTATGATGCTGGACGAAATTCCGTACAAATTTTCAAAAACTTGTGGTAAGCAGGTCTTAGCTTTTCTTTTATCTAATTTATATTAGAAACCGCCTGAATGTCTGAAACAGTAATTACGAAAAGCATGTTTCTCATATTTGCCTTATGGTAAGTGTCGGGATTTACTGTGATAAGTTCTATTCTATTGCTTTTAATATATCCCATCAAATTTTAGTTTCAAAATATCAAACCTTAAAGCTTGTGAAACAGGTACCAAATTGTAGATAATTAACTGTCCAAAAAATTAAAATTCAAATGTCAATTGTCAAAATTAGAATTTAATTCATATTTATTGTGAACTAATATAAATTAATCTAATTAAATGTTAATACTAAACTAGTAATAATTCATATATTGATAGTGGTTAGTACTATTACATATACACTGCATTGTCTTTATCTCTCATTGTACATATTTGCTTTATATCCAATAAACTCATGCTGTATATTATAATATATTATTTTTGCACAGTAAAATTTATTTATAATTAAAATAACTAAACCATATAAAGAGATTATTTCGGGAAATTGACAAATATATGTTGATACATCAAAAATTTTCTTTTCTAATACTATTTCAGTTATTGGTAACATCTGCTAATTCTAAAATTGAAACAAAATCCAGTGACATAAATCTTGAATCATCGAAAACATCAAACGACAACAAAAATGTTTGCACTACTAAATTAAACGTTAACGATAACACTAATAATCAAAACAATCTTAATAATAACTGTACACCATCTACCAGTTCAAAAGTTGTTACTACTACGAAGCAAAAGAAAACTGTGACTTTTAAAAATATATTGGAAACAAGCGATGATAAAAGTGCTGTCAAAAAAATGTACAATCCAGATAATCGTCGACCACTTGTGTCAATTATGAAAAAGGAATGCATATATCGACCAAATTTATATACGCGGAATAGTGAATGTATTGTACGACCTTCTAGATTAACTGAGATTTTGAAAAACAATTCAAACATAGACAAATTAAACTCTTTGAAATTCCGTTCATCCACATCAAGTACTTGTGTTTCTTCTTCTAACACAACATCTAATGAATCTAGTACATTAAATTCATTATTTGGTGGTGGCTTATCAAGAGCTTTTGGAGCACCAATAGCTGATGAAGACAATATGCATAATATAGTCACATTTCGCGTTAAAGCAGATTCTCCGACACGGGATTCTAAATCTGATACTAGTAGCAGAGATAACAATGATGATAATAAGCTCAACGACGGTAAGAAATTCAATAAAGATTATATTATAACCATTAAGCCTTATTTTCATATAGACGGTGATGGAGATAATGCAGAAGATGATGAAGACGAACAGCAAATGATTGTAGATAAACTCTTTGTCTTACCTAAGCGTAGTACACGATCGTCGAGAGTCATAAAACCTAACAAACGTCTATTGGAAGATGGAATTATTTGTAAAAAAAGTGCAAATAAAACAAAAGTAAATGGTTCTACTATGCAGAAAAAAGATCAGTCAAATTATTTTTGTTTGCGAGAAGATTGCAATAACACAAAACTTAATTTAGGTTTGCAATGAATTACCATTTAATTAAAATATTACGCTATATATTTCTTATATTTATTTTAAAGGTAACAAAACTTCAAAAGAGCTCTCCGAACCAAAATCTACATTTGCTTTGTCCACATCACAATTCCCAAAGTATAGTCACTTAAAAGCAAATAGTTTTGTTTTACGACAGCCACGTTTACATATTTACGAATCAGTTTCTGATCGTGCGAACACTTCACAAACTACGGGTACATCACCAACACCAAAAGGCGTAACATCAAAATCATTAACTCAATCAGTTTGCTCAAATTCTCATTTGAATAGTACATCAACATTTTCGTTAAGTGCTCCTAATAACCCACTTAATAGCGCTAGTTTAAGTAAGTTTTGCTTATTCATATGGTATAACATTAACAATGTTTTATATAATATTTTTTACTTAATAGGCAATTCGACTTCTTGCAGCGTATGTTCAGCAATTATTATTAATAAAAATTTGCAAGAGGCTCGTAAATATGGAGTACTAGCCTGTGAGGCGTGTCGAAAATTTATATCGAAAATTAATAAGAAATCAATTGCATCTAGCGGCAGTCCATCAAAAAAGTATTTACAATTGCTATGTAAAGGGGATGGTAATTTATTATAAAATAAAATTTATTTACTATATTCATATATAAACTGTTTTTAGGTAACTGTAATTTATTGTCTCATTCCAAAAATCATATTCGAAATTTTAAAAAGATTTATAAAGAACGCTGCTCTGCATGTTGGTTAAAAAAATGTATTCAAATATTTCATTTTCCGTCTGGGCACAAGTTGCGATTAAGCAATATTTTACCAGTTAACATGATAAAACAGAAAGATTCGTTAATACAAATATCCCCAACAGACACTTGTTATCGAAATGACACTGAATTACTTTCACCAACTGGACTATTTTTGTCTCAAAGGCTTACTACTCCAGGGCAAATTAAATGGAAATCTTCAATTGATGTTGGAATTGAAATGAAAATAAATTTAAAAAATAACCCTTTGGCAGAAAATAATGTAACATTCGGTACATCACCATTATTAAGACCACCAATACTAGAAAAATCGATTTTTACAAAAAATATAGAACAACAAAAAGTTGAAAAAGTAAAAAAACTGGAGAATTCAGATTTAACACCAGAAGACGATTATTTAAAAAATCGAAACAAGGTTAATGAAAACGGTCATAAATTAAGTAAAAGTAAACGTAAAGAAAAACAAGATAAAGATATACTAAATAAATCAACAACGAACATCTCAAAATATGTATCGAAAGGAATAATGTCAGAGATTATCAATACATCGCTAACAAGTAGTGGAAATCCTTTGTTATTATCTGCTCAAATCATACCTTCACCATCAACCCAAACTGCAGTTGACTTTTCTGGTCCAATATCTACGGTTAAAAGTACATTGTCATATTCGTCAATTTCAACATTGCCCACAACAACAGCATCAGCTTCTACTTTAGCAGATACGCATAAAAGACAGAGAATTGATTTGAAAGGTCCACGTGTAAAGCATGTTTGCCGAAGTGCGTCAATTGTTCTTGGCCAACCTTTAGCTATATTTGACGAGGAAAATGATTTGAGTACAGATCAACCGCGTATCGATGAGTCACTTGTAGCAGCTTCTAAAAATACAGATATAACATTCTGTAAAGATGAAAATTATACAAATAAACAGAATAGTGTAACTGTTGAAAATGAAAATTGTTCCTCTTGTAGATTAGAAACAAACTCTAAACCACATTGCACAAATGATTCTGCAACTAAACAAGTAGATGAAATTACACAACCATCATCCTCAAAATCTTCTAACCTTTTAGATCAAGAAATGACAGAAGAAATTAATTCCGAAAAAGGATCGGTACTGCATATTTCCAAAATTGACACACGTAACATAAATAGTAACCGCAATATTACAATTAATAACAATAATAATTTGTCAGTTCAGAAATCAAACACAACTTTCCCATCTGTTGTTGGCCAAAAATATATGAATTTTCAACATCATCATCAACAACACTTACCTAAACGCAAGGAATTATGTAAATCAAAACTATTAATATCTATTGATTTTTGGGAAAACTACGATCCCGCTGAAGTAAGCCAAACTGGATTTGGTTTAATCGTTACTGAGACAGTTGCGCAGCGCGCTTTATGTTTTTTATGTGGTTCAACTGGACTAGATGCATTAATTTTTTGTGCTTGTTGCTGTGAACCTTACCATCAGTATTGTGTATTAGATGAGTATAATTTAAAGCATTCCTCTTTGGATGATACAATAGCCAGTATTTTAGATACGTCAACTTTAATGCTTCATACTAATACAAATAACATGAATCAAATAACTAATCGTTTGAATTGGTTATGTCCACGTTGCACAGTATGCTATACTTGCAATATGTCTTCGGGTTCTAAAGTGAAATGTCAAAAATGTCAAAAAAATTATCATTCAACATGCTTAGGAACTAGCAAAAGATTGCTTGGAGCTGATCGACCATTAATTTGTGTTAATTGCTTGAAGTGCAAATCTTGTTCAACAACGAAAGTTTCGAAATTCGTCGGCAACTTACCAATGTGTACATCATGTTTTAAGTTACGAAAAAAAGGAAATTATTGTCCTATATGTCAAAAATGTTACGAAGAAAATGACTTTGATCTAAAAATGATGGAATGCGGTAATTGTAATCAATGGGTTCATTCAAAATGTGAAGGACTAACAGATGAGCAATACAATTTGTTAAGTACTCTTCCAGAGTCAATCGAATTCATATGTATTAAATGTGCAAAACAGACAGAAAATTCTAAACAAAGAGCATATGAATGGCGTCAAGCTGTTACTGAGGAATTTAAAACGAGTCTTATGAGTGTTTTAAAGCTTCTCAGTAAGTCTCGCCAGGCTTGTGCTCTACTTAAATTAAGCCCAAGAAAAAAAATTATGTGTACTTGTGGTGGTAATGGTAAAATCCAACCAAAATGTTTGCAATTCAATAATGAACGCGATCCGCGGTGTAGTGATGGAGAATCTCAATGTAGTGAAGATATATATGAATTTAATGAAAATTTTATTGAAGATAAAGGTAGAGAAAAGTGTATCTGTGTTAATACATTGAACTCAAATTCATATAATGGAAATCAAAATAATAATCTTAGCTTAGTGGATATAAAACGTAAGATTATTAGTAACGAATACGTTTCACTAGCAGAATTTAATTACGATATGAATAATGTAATACAAATTGCTAACTGTGATGAACTGGTTATTGCTTATAAAGAAATATTGAGTGAACAATTTCCATGGTTTCAAAATGAAACAAAAGCTTGTACAGATGCACTGGAAGAGGATATGTTTGAATCATGTTCATATATAATAAATAATTCACTAGAGTCTCAAAATTTTAACAATGAGCATCAGAATCGATCTATTATTGATTTACCTGAAAATGTTGATAGTATGATTTATTCTCTTAAAGCACGTAAAGACATGCGCGTTTGCCTCTTCTGTCGCAAAACTGGAGAAGCAGAATCCAGTAAAGAATCTCGTTTATTATATTGTGGACATGATTGTTGGGTCCATACAAATTGTGCTATGTGGTCGGCTGAAGTGTTTGAGGAAATTGATGGTTCATTACAAAATGTACATAGTGCAATATCACGTGGTAGAAAAATCAGATGTACTGTCTGTGGAAATAGAGGGGCGACAGTAGGTTGCAATGTTAAATCATGCGGAGAACACTATCACTTTCCATGTGCTCGCAGTATTAATTGTTTCTTTTTGGTGGATAAAACTGTTTTCTGTCCAGACCACGCAGGAGATGCGTCTAATGCTAAAACGTTAGCAACAACTGAAACTAATTTCAATGTAACAAGACCAGTTTACGTGGAACTAGATCGCAAAAGAAATAAACTTGTTGAACCCTCAAAGGTTCAGTTTCATATTGGTTCACTGGAGGTAAAACAATTGGGGACACTGATACCCAAATTTTCTGATACTTACGAAGCCATTATACCTATAAATTTTCTATGCTCTCGTCTTTATTGGTCATCTAAAGAGCCTTGGAAAATAGTGGAATACACAATAAAAACAACAATACAAAACAATTTTTCGACATTAACTGCTTTTGATGCTAGCAGAAATTTCACTATTGATCATACTAATCCAAACTCTTCAATGGTACAATTGGGCCTTGCACAAATTTCACTTTGGCATAATAGTTTAACACGCGGAAATATTGCAGATATTGAAAATACAGATATTGTTAATTTACGAAATTCAACTTTAACTAAGCTTCTTCCGGAATTCCTATCTAATAATCAGAACTCTTCATCAGCAACGGATGAAAATAACGAAGAAGAACCACAAAATAATGCCGATTTATTTCCTCCTGAAATTAAAGATGCTATTTTTGAGGATTTACCGCATGAATTACTGGATGGCATTTCCATGTTAGACATATTCCCCAAATTTATGATATGTGAAGAAATGGGCAATTCTGATGGCAAAACCGAAATGTTTCTAAATGAGCAGTCTAAAGATAGTGCACCAAATACGGTAACAAATTCTAATGTACAAATATCTGATGATGATACTGTAAACTCAGCTTTTAGTAAACAGAATGAGTTAAATAATTCTTGGTCCTCAAATAACCTAATTGTCAATCATGTAGAAGACGCATTACTGTCGGCTACAAGATCAAGCAATCAAATAAAACGAACTTTTAACAGTAGCGATATTCAACGAAATAAATCAGAGCTGTTAAAAAGAACACCACAACAACGTACTTGGTCAAAAATTGATGGAAATAGTGCGGCAGCTGCTATAAAGAGACGTAAATTTTCTAAAAACTTACAAGAGATGCGTGTTACGGAAGGTGTTTTGTTTAGCATAAATCAACAACGCTGTAAAAAGGATGCAACAACAGTACAAGCACTCAGCAGACGCCAATCTCAATCGAACGATGTAGAAATGAATAATACATTAAGAACAAAACAATTTATATGGAGTGCTGCAAAGCATATCGAAACAAAATTAAATATTGAAAGAGATGATAAAATAAAACTTATGCAGGTGGATGGTGTTGATGACTCCATTACCGAATATAGAATTTTTGGTACAGATACTCAATTCAGTGGGACTGTTAAATGTGATCGTTGTCATTGCACTTACCGAACTTATGAATCATTTCAACGTCATATAACAAATTGTGAGCCATTATCAACAAGTGAATCAGAATCTGAAACTACTCCTAGAACTCCGGAATCAGCAACATGTCAGATAATATCTGCAGATGCAATCAGCGAGTTAAATAAACTAAATCAAGGGCATCGCACCGCAACGTTGGCGAACGTCGCTGGAAATTTGCCATTTATACAAACGTTTCCACAAGCTGTACCTTTAAACAATATTCAAAGCAGTATAAATAGTATACCTTTAACAAATATGTCAAATATACAAAATGTACAAGGCTTGCAAAATATACAAGGACTACAAAATTTGCAAAGTTTGCAAAATATACAAATTCAAAATATACAACCACAAACGATTGGAAGTAACTTCTTTATTTCACATTCCCATCCTACTACATCAAATTCAGATGAGCTACAATTTTTTTCAAATTCTTTACAAGGATTAACTTCGAATCTAAACGGTACTTATACTATAGCACCAACAAGTACATTTGGCGCAACTGCTATTCAACCAGCACAACAACAACAAACACAACTTATTGCAGTTTCTACAAATCCAGATGGTTCACAGCAAATAATACAATTACCACCTGTAAACACTCAAAATTCACAAATACTACAAAATTCAGGAGCGTTCCAAACATTGCAAACAAGTAATGATAAAAAGATTATTCTACCTTTAGGAGGTAAATCCATTAAAGCTTTAGGAATAAAGGGTAATCAACAACTAGCAACAAATTTGAAAGGCAAAATAAAATCGAATAATGTCATAAAACCGATACAAACAAAAGTATCAGCACCCAATACTACGGTTGCCCAACAAACTATACAAGCACAACAATCACCGATCACAGTACTTAATACAGGCGCAGTTACTCAAAATACTGCTCAGCTACTAAATAATAGTATTATGCAACAAATGCAAGCAGCTAGTATGAGTTCAAGTGCACAACAACCTCAAATTTTATTCCAAACTGCGAATACCACAACACAACAACAACCAATCATAATGCAACAAGTTGGTGCAGCCACAAACTCGACTGTCCCTCAAAATATTATATCATTTGTAACTACTGATGGAACTCAAAACCCACAAGTGCAATATTTATCTCTTCCTCCGAGCAATGATTTTAAAACTCAAACCCAAACAACCCCCTTCATTACCGCAACAAACACCAATCCCCAAATTATGCAAGGTGCGTTTATTCAAACAGATCCTAGTGGAAATCTTGTTCTTACAACTTCACAAGCACCTACAGGATTACAAATGCTATCAGCAACACCGCTAAATATTACACAAGCAACTCAACCGCAACCACAAGTAATAGGTACGTTAATACAACCACAAACCATTCAACTGGGTGGAAATGTTATAACAGCTGCAGATCCACCCCAGCAACAAGTAATTTTAGGAGGTGGGACAAGTGGATTAGAAATGTTAGCTGCTGCAAATGCATCCGCGCCACAAGTTATACTTGCTACACAGCCGATGTATTACGGACTCGAAACAATTGTCCAAAATACCGTGATGTCGTCTCAACAATTTGTTTCGACTGCTATGCCTGGTGTTCTTAGCCAAAACGCCAGTTTTTCGGCAACTACAACACAGGTGTTTCAAGCAAGTAAAATTGAACCAATTGTAGATATACCAACTGGTTATGTTGTATTGAATAATGTTGATACAGGAGCATCTATAGTACAACAGCAAGGTGCACAACAAGCCAACTATCTAAATTCAACTACAAATGTACTCCAACAACCACAATCAATCCATAATGCGCATCAATCAACAACTGCAACAGAAACTCAGAACAATAATGTTGCCGATCAGCAACATTCGATTTATAGAATACAAACATCTAATGATAATTCTAATTTTTCATATCATAATCAACAATCACAGCAATTTGTAGAGCAAACTGTTAATCAACAACAACCGACAGTTCAAATAATTACAGCTAAAGTACCACCAGTGTCACAAATGAAGCGGAACACAGGAAAAGCAACTCCTATAGCTGCAGTAACCAAAGTTCAACCACAAGTTATTAATAAAGTTGTACCAACAACAAATAATAAACTTAATAATAATAAACAAACAAGTCAACATAGCCGAATACCCTCGCAAATAATTGTTGATTCAGGGCATATTGCAGCAGCACAAACACAAATGAAAACATCAATAAATACGAACATTAATAACTGTAACCCATTAAAGGCTCATCAGAATGTCGATACTCAAAAAATATTTACAACACCCTGTGTTACAACAGTTCCTGCAACAATTGCCACAAAACCTTTACAAATAGCAACTACAACTAAGAAAACAAATTTTATACGTCCCATTCATAAGGCAGAAATAAAACCAAAAATCATTAAAACTGCTACAATTTCAAAACCAAATTTGCAAAGACAGATACTGCAACAGCAACAGCAGCAACAGCAGCAACAACAACAACAACAACAACAACAACAACAACTTATACAATCTATAAATGACAATTCTAAAACTGTTTTGCTCAAACCAATTCAAGATACACAAAATTCTCAACAGACCGAAATAAATGCAACAATCGAAACTAATAAAAGCATGGAATTGAAACCAGTTTTGAACCAGCAATATCAACAATTAAATGAATTTATAAATGAGACAGGAGAGTACAGTTTTGGTGTTGTAGTTCAGAACGAAGCCGATCTTCAAATTGAAACCCCTTCAAAAACAATTAATGAAAGCATAATAAATAACCCCTACGATTTCAGCCAGCAACAGCAACACAGTGAGTGCCAAAATATGCAGCAACAGAAATGTTACAGCATCGAAATTACTAAGGATCAGACTGAAATCTTTAACCAACATCAACAAGAAATGAATGCAATAACTAACAACAGTATAAATCAAAATCGTTCGCAGTACTGCAACTCAACATTTAATGCGAATGTTCCTACAAATATTGTCAATCCCCTACAACAGAGTACACAATATACAATTACAACCAACACTACTAATAATATTCATTCAAACTCCACCACATTAATATCAAGACCCACAAATCGCGTTTTACCTATGCAACAAACTCCGAATCAAACCACAACAACTTCAACAGCTAAAACTGTTGCGAAAACTATTAATGACGTTTCAAAATTGTACAATGACATTACCAGCAAAGTTTGTTATGAGTCAGAGGTTAAGAAAGATGAGGACTCGCTATTGCAAATTCAAATGAATTCACCTCATCTGCAGTCACCACATCAAATATTTCATTTACATGAACAAGATGATAATGAAACCTTTAATAAATCGGTTTCAGTAACTGAATTCGTTGATAATACACTCAAATGTGATTTAGAAGGTATGGAAAATGAAACAAGTTTAACTACGCAGCAAATCGAAATCGTTGCAAATGATTTGCAAGATTACGCCGCTAACTGTTTGCTCATTTCTGAAAAGGATAAGATTCCTTCGACGATAGTATCACAAAATTTTAGTGAAATCAATTGCACATCTGGACCTGAAATTATGAATGTTATTGAACAAGACGACGATGATGATGATGGGTTCAGTATAAAAATGCCAACAGAGGAAATGTCAGATAGTGATGAACCCACAGTTAAAGCAAAAATTAACAAAATTCTTGATAACCTAACAAATGATGATTGCAACGACTCTATTGCTGCAGTAACAACTGTTGAAACTTGTGCTGAATTAAGCAATGTTAAATATATAAACAGTCAAATATGTGAAAATAATACATTACAATCAACCACTACTGAAGAAGCAAACTTTGGCAATGGAAATGCATCAGAAACAATAGTAGCTGCAGCTAATAATCTTATGACACAAATAGACAATGACATAAATGTGGGGATTTCTCAACAAATTAATAATATAAACTTTGATATGAAAAAAATTCAAGTAAAATTATCACCTCATTTAAAATCGAATAAAGTACCTGCAATTATAATTGATAATGAGTCAAGTATTTCAAATGAACCCACAACCAAAATGGATGAAATGAATAGTTTGAAGACTGAAACGCAATTTCCACCACCATATCCAAGTCGTGAACCGAAGAAGATTACCGGTCCTCATTTGTTATATGAGATTCAAAGTGATGATGGTTTTATATATAAATCAACTTCAATAACAGAAATTTGGGAGCAAGTATTTGAAGCAGTACAAGTAGCTCGTCGAGCACATGGATTAGTACCTTTGCCTGAAGGTCCGTTAGCCGATATGTGCGGTGTGCAAATGATTGGACTAAAAACAAATGCCTTAAAGTATTTAATTGAACAATTGCCAGGTGTAGAAAAATGTCAAAAATACACCCCAAAATACCATAAATATGATTCATTACTATCACAATCAGTTGCATTTCCCGCTGCGTCCACAATTTCCAGTATATCTACGAACGGCATTTCTTCTATTAATGATATAAATTCTACAATCGATTATTTATCTGATCAGGAAGACATACAAGAAAATCTTTTTGGGTGTGCTAGGTTGGAACCCTTTTCAAAACGTTCCGACTATGATATGTTTAGTTGGTTAGCATCAAGACATCGGAAACAACCAATACAGGTTTTTTTGCAGCCATCAGATAATGAGTTAATGCCAAGGTGAGTATTTGTTTTTGATCTAATTTAGTTCGCAACTAATTTATTAAGTATATAAAATGTAATATAAAAAATATATTATTATTAAAGGCGTGGTACTGGAAGTAATTTACCAATGGCTATGAAATATCGAACATTGAAAGAAACTTATAAAGATTATGTTGGTGTGTTTCGTTCACATATACATGGTCGTGGTCTTTACTGCACTAAAGATATAGAAGCAGGTAAGTTTTTAATTTCCATATATTTATTTAAAAATTAATTACCTAAATTCCTTTTTCGGGCAACAGGTGAAATGGTAATTGAATATGCCGGAGAACTCATCCGTTCAACGTTGACTGATAAACGTGAACGTTGTTATAATAGTCGTGGTATTGGCTGTTATATGTTCAAAATTGATGAAAATCTCGTTGTTGATGCTACAATGCGTGGGAATGCTGCACGTTTCATAAATCACTCATGCGAGGTATTTATAATGTTTGACAAAACACAACATATAAGAAGTAATAAATAAATAATTTGTATAAATTTCTTTATAAAATTACTAATTTATTGCAATGACAAATTTTTGTTTTATTTTAAAGTTTTTTGTTCGCCTATTATCCCATTTTATTTTTATATAAAGCAAAACACGTTAGTGCTGTACAATGACTAATTTTATTTAGATTTTTAAACAAGTCCCCCCTTTCTATATATAGGTCTATATTAATTGTAAAATATATGATGTTATTCCGGACTGGAGAATTTTGGAGCATATCCAAAAAATATAATTTATTCAAATGCATTTCCGTTTTAATGTTTTAAGATTTTCAAGCTTTGGCTCATGATTGCATTGTGTGCAATCAGCAGCTAATACCGTTGTTACTCGTAATATTTTAACTTTTTATAATATATTAATATCTAGCAATTCTCTTCTTAACTTATGTGTTTTTTTTAACTTTACTGTTCCAATTATTTTATCATTTAAAATTTTCCAATTCTTTCTATTGCCGGATTTATCAGTTTCTTTTAGTTTTTCTTTGTCAAAAATACTGAAGTTCGCTACTTGAGTGGACAATTGTTGAATAAAGGGAATGAATTTGTGAATTTTAACAATTTGTCTCTTTTTTATATTCTTAATTATTTGATTGATCGTCTTCTTCTCTAGCATTATACATACAATAATTAATAAATGGTGATTTTCTTCTTAGACAGCCTATTCAATCTGAGTGTCAGCAGCAGCATTTATTAACAATAAGCTTATTTCCACGTAATTATCAATTTAAATCTTCAATACTACAAATTTTTCTTTAATAATACTTATGACTAATCATAAAAGGTAACATTTATCTTTTAACATTCAATTTCATCATTTTATATTAAACTAGAATCTATACAGCATTCAAAAAGCGTTTCAAGATATGTTATGTACTATCAGTGTGTAAAGCTCTCTCGATCGCGGAGAGTGTATCAATTCGCTAATAGTTCGAAATGCTGTCCTAGTGCGGATATTCCTTAACCATGAGAGTTGTTTCCGAACATGTTTTGGTTTTGATGTTTTACTTTATCCAATGCTTTCTCGTAATCTATGAAGCACAAATATACTAGTGCTGTTCATATTCGAATTTACGAAGAATTCGAATAGTAAACGAAGTCTTCGAAGTTGGAAAAAACTTCGAAGTTTTTGTGAATTTTTGTTCTCGAAGTCTTCGAAGTTTAAGTGCAGTGAAAAACTTCGTAAGCAAAAGGTGAAGTAAGAGCGCAAAATGCAAACAAACGTGCATCACACAAATTATTTGAAGGATGAAAGCATTTGGTTTATTTGCACGGTTTTATGTTTTTTTTTTTTTGTATTCTATGCAGAAAATTAAAAACATGTTTTTTTGTTTTATTTTATTACATTAAATTTATTTTATTATTAAATATGTATTATAATATATATTATTATTAAATATGTTATTATTAAATATTATTTATATTAAATTTACATTTTAAATAACTTATATTTATTATTTATATTTAAAAAATTATATTTATGAAAATTTTTAATATAATATAATACATGAAAATTTGATGGAATTTCTTTTATACAATTGTGCTAATGTAGTAATTTTTACTACATTCTACATTTTATTTAGATAGTTCCTTATAATATTATGTATTTCTTTTCTTAGAAATAAGGATTTAAAAGTTTTACATAAACCGTAAAATAACTGTAATTACAATAAAATAATCAAAAATTATTTTTTTATTATGCAAAAAATAAATTTGTGCTTTTGTTACCTGTGTGATCATCACAGCTCATACATGTCAAATAATTATGCATTAATGAGCAAAACTAATTTTTTCATAACTAATTTTCAAGGTTTTAATTTGTGATTTTTTTTAAAAAGAAAAATGAATACTTTTATAAAATTTCCTTTACTAATAAAATCCATCAATATCAATATTTTCATATTCTTACATATGTATTTTGTATTATATTAAAAATTTTCATAAATATAATTTTTTTAATATAAATTATAAATATAAGTTATATAAAAGGTAAATTTTTTATTTCATATAAATAATATATAATAATATATATAACAATACATTAATACATAATACTACATATACATATATAATAATACATAATACATAATCATAAAATAAATTTTATGTGTTAACAAAACAAAAAAACATATTTTTAATTTATGCATAAAATACCAAAAAAAACATACAACCGTACAAATAAAGCAAATGCTTTCATCCCTCAAATAATTTGTGTGATGCACGTTTGTTTGCATTTTGCGCTCTCACTTCACCTTTTGCTTACGAAGTCTTCGAAGTTTTTCACAACACTTAAATTTTGAAGGCTTCGAGAACAAAAATTTACAAAAACTTCGAAGTTTTTTCCAACTTCGAAGACTTCGTTGAATTGCGAATATTTGAATAATCGAAGAACTTCGGTTTTTTAAAAACTTCGAATATTGTGAACAGCACTAATATATACATCTTTTTGCACATCTTTGCAGTTTTGAACTAGGACTTATAAGCAGAATATAGATTTTCGAGTTTTCATAGCATCTCTAAATTAAAATTGTGTCCATTACCGCTTCACATTTTTTGTATATTCTTGTGTGTATTATTTGCTTATCATTGTTCCTGACGTACTTGTTAAATTTCTTATATTACGTATTGGTTAGCTGAGTTAATCATTCTTTTCGAAATTATTCCCACACCGTTTCTATGCCTTAACATAAGGATCAGACGTTGTTGGCAGCCGCTCATTTTGAGGTCAGACGCTACTAATAAATGGTTTGTCAAAGCGATTTTCCTTCCTCTGCTTGAGTGGTCCGGGAGAGGTAATTGATTTCTCTCTTACCACCCATTTGTGGGAGGCATTCCCCTATCCTCCACCTGGGGACGCGCCCCTAGGAATATAAGGCTTCCTTCGAGGGTAAAATGATGATAGAAACGATTAATATAGTTTTATTTAAAAAATATTATGCGTGAACCGAAACAAGAGTAAAAAATATGTTTGATTAGTTTATATATTAATATATTTTTTTTATTATTTATTAAAACAGATTTTTTCTCATGTGTGCATTTCAGCCCAATTGTTATTCAAAAGTGGTCGATATACTTGGACATAAGCATATAATCATATTTGCGTTGCGCCGTATTGTACAAGGCGAAGAGCTTACCTATGACTATAAATTTCCATTTGAAGATGAAAAAATTCCTTGTTCCTGTGGATCAAAGAAATGTCGCAAGTATTTAAATTGAGTTACAGCGATATAAACACATCAATTCCTGTTCATCTTCATACATGTACAATGACACGAAGACTTTATGAGCAGAATGGTCCGTTAGAGTTGGGACCAGTTTTATCTGAATTTAGTTGTGCAGTGGAATAAATTCATTCAATGTATCATTACGAACGGAAATACACAAATTTCCAAAACAACATTTTATTACTTTTAGCCTTTTGACTTGAAAAAAATAGACGTGTAAAAGTTAAAAGAAACACATTAAATTGCTAGCACGACTACTGAAGATATTGAATTAATTGTGAAAGTAAAAGTCAAGTACGAAATGATATTATAATAACAAGGGACGTGTCAGTATTCAATATATAACTTTATTTGTATTTTTAATGTTAAATAAGTTGATTAAAGCTTATAATTAAAAATTAATAAAATGGAAAATAGTTATAAAGATTTATATTAAGAAAATTGTTGACTATAGAAACTTTTGATTCTATATTGTAACAAAAGTAAATTAATATTAGTTTTATGTACGTATATGTTTAGTTTAAGTTTTGAGCCCGTATTTTGATTAATATTCATTTTTAAAATATAAATTGTAAATATTAAGAATTTAATTATGTATATGTGCAACAAGTGTTTAAATTTATTCTCAATATTAGTTATTAATATAGATGAAGTACTCTAAACCCTTTTAGAACTTTATCTAATGAAACATCACGATTATTTAATTCCGAGTTTTATATAATCTCTTATATTTGTTATATTTTATATTTTTAATTTGTATTATGATGCATGTGCTACGAAAAAGTGCCGAAGAACGAACGCTACGGCATCTTTAAAACAGGGGCTTTTATGTTGCTTATGTAAAAAGGAATTTTACATTTTTATTCCCTAAAGAAAAAAATTAAAAATGGATTTATTAATTTAGGTTATATCATTTGTACGTGAGGAATATATTTAAATAAATATATATTTTAAAGTTCAACAAACATTTTTCTTTCCTAAATTATTAATATAAAATGAATTTGTCAAAATTCGTGAATGCTGCAATGAAGGAGACTTCTGATACTGTAAAATCTTTATATATGATACGGGCAATTCTGGCAAAGACAGTTAAGAGCATTTTGAAAATTGTTTGGAAGATAGGACGAAAGACAGTTTGAAGAACTTTTAGAAAAAGTTTTATCATTCATAAATCGTGGTAAAAAGGTATTTTGTGCTATTGCTTTCGTGTGGAAATCAATAACAGCTGAAAATCGTTACTTCAATTGATTTATCAATTTTATTTTAATGTGATGGAAAGCCGCAAGATATACAGTGGCTCCATCGCATAATCGGACAAGAATTTGTTCGATATAACTTTGCTCTAAACTTTAAAAAAATAGGCTAAAAATATTATTTTTTTGCTTTTATTTACACTTAACATACTTATCTAAATATTAAAAAAAATACATTTCTCATATTAACTGTAAATTTACAGTAAAAAACAAAAACAAAAAAATTGTTTGAGCTCAACGCATAATCGAACGAAGTAAACGAACGAAGCAGCAATGCTTAAAATGTGAAAATGTGGCATATCCTTTGTTATCCAGAACGACCTGCAGACGATTTTGAACTAATTTTACCAAGTTTAAGCACACTTCTGTCGTTATTAAGCACCATGCTTCAAGTAAATCCTCCTTTAGCTGCACTATTGCAGCTATTCATTTTTTTGTTATGCTCTCCTAGCTAATTCCTCCCACTTTTTCTTTTCAATTCTTTTTTTTCAATTCTTCCGTGATAATCAAATTTATATAATGCATTGCAAATAGTATTTCAGCATACATCTTTCCACGAGCAGGTTTTTAATAAAAATTTAATGTCCATTGGGGTTTTGAAAGGATTTTTCTTTATTTCTTTCAATATAGAACGCTTTTCTCTATCATTTAATATTTTACCTTGACATGCTCTGCTCTTATTGGCGAACCTAAACTCATTACGGAACCTCTTCATAATGTCTAGGACAGTAGATTTACTTATTCCAACTAAATTGGTAATATCTCTAATGGTTTTACCTTCAAAATTCAATCTAATTATTGATTACCTAATTTCGACAGTAGATTGCTTTCTACTTGGTGTCAATTGAAAAAAAATGTTTATTACTTAATTCTTATATATGTTATATTTTCTGTTTAGAGCACATTTATACCGAACAAAATCTTGTCCGATTATATGATAGAGCCACTGTGGCATTAAGCACATTAGTGAAAAAGAAATTAATTTGGCCAGATAAGTTATATTTTGTTATTTGTGCGTTTTCAAAAAAAGAAGAATTTTAAGAGCTATTTCTGCGTGAAAAATTAAAAGATGCGTGGAAAAATAAAAGATACATGATGAATATAATATAAAGCAAATTTAATTATTATTTTATGAGTTTTATTTTAAAATGCGAATGATAACAGTTAGATGATTTTTAATTTTTTTTTATGATTACTGTTACAGTTAATGAACAAATCTTATGCACAAAATCTTACACACAAATCTTAAACACAAACAAAATCTTAGCTGACAATCAAAAGATGTGCTTCATAGCATCACTAACATCTTTCGAAACATTTTCGATTGTGGTGAACTGAAAGATAAATGCCAGAATTGCCCTCTATATATTTATATTAATATTGTTGATCGACTAGATTTTATAAAATATTTGTTAGCTTTTTATCCTCAAATATTTTTACATTTATCCTATTCTACAGACTTGAAATTCAAATTACATAGTCGACATAAGTATTTTGACGAAATAAAAATCGTGAATTTTTTCATGATTTTGTTTTTATTTATAACTAATATAATCTTAAAAATAAGCAAACAAATATGTTTTCATAGGAACATAAAAAAATATAAATCAATTATTAATTCATATGTTGACATAAGTATTTTGACAAGTATATAATACTAACAGAACGAATTTTGAATTAATAATAATTGTAGAATAGATAAAAACAATTAAACGTTTAACACATACGTAAATATGATGAAAATAACTACGCAGTAGTTTTTGGTTGATGCCCTTTTAAATATGGAGAGCGATAAGCAACATTTTCGACATATCTTACTTTTTTACTATAGAAAGGGTAAAAATACTGTTAAAGCCCGAAAAAAATTGACCGATGTGTATGGAGAAGGTGTATTGACAGTACGCCGGTCCAGAACTGGTTCGGTAAATTTCGATCCGGCAATTTTAATGTCGAAGATGCACCACGTTCGGGAAAGCCGGTTGAAGCTGATAAAGACGCGATAAAGGCATTAGTTGATGCGAACTGGCGAATAACAACACGTGAGTTTGGATTGAGATTAAGTTGATCAAATTCAACAGTTTATGACCACTGAAAGGCCTGAGATTATCGTCGAAGCTAAATGTATGGGTTCCCCATGTTCTCACAGAGAGAAATCTGTGTAGCCGCATTGACGTCTGCGATTCGCTTCTCAAACATCACGAAAATGATCCGTCATCACGAAAATGAAGCGCATCATCATTGGGGATGAAAAATTGTTGTATACAATCAATGTTATTGATAATAGTACTGTTCACATTATTCGAAGTTTTTAAAAATTCGAAGTTCTTCGATTATTCGAATATTCGCATTTCAACGAAGTCTTCGAAGTTAGAAAAAACTTCGAAGTTTTTGTGAATTTTTGTTCTCGAAGTCTTCGAAGTTTAAGTGTAGTGAAATACTTCGAAGACTTCGTAAGCAAAAGGTGAAGTGAGAGCGCAAAATGCAAACAAACGTGCATCACACAAATTATTTGAGGGATGAAAGCATTTGCTTCGTTTGTACGGTTTTATGTTTTTTTTTTTGGTATTCTATGCAGAAAATTAAAAACATGTTTTTTTGTTTTATATTATTACATAAAATTTATTTTATTATTAAATATGTATTATAATATATATTATTATTAAACATGTTATTATTAAATATTATTTATATTAAATAAAAAATTTACATTTTAAACAACTTATTTATATTTATTATTTATATTTAAAAAATCATATTTGAGAAAATATTTAATATAATATAAAATATCTACGTAATAATATGAAAATATTGATATTCACGGATTTTATTAGTAATGGAAATTTTATAAAAATTTTCATTTTCCTTTAAAAAGAAAATCACAAATTAAAACATTGAAAATTAGTTATGAAAAAATGAGTTTTGCTCATTAATGCATAATTAAATATCTCTGCATACCTGCAACATCTGTAGCATCAGAAAGAGTATTTTCAACGGCAGGAAATATTGTAACTCCTCATCGCAGTTGTCTTGCCCCAGTATATATGGAAGCAAACCTTTTTGTATATCACAATAAAGCATTTCTGTCTAATGATCAATTTTTAATGTAATTTGTTTTTTTTCATAAAAGTTTTAATTTGAAAATTAATTTAAATTTCCATTACAAATAATATAACAAAAACAATATATTAATTTCATCAAATTTTCATGTATTTTATATTATATTAAAAATTTTCTCAAATATGATTTTTTATATATAAATAATATATATAAGTTATTTAAAATGTAAATTTTTTATTTAATATTAATAATAAAATAAATTTAATGTAATAAAATAAAACAAAAAAACATGTTTTTAATTTTCTGCATAGAATACCAAAAAAAAAAAACATAAAACCGTACAAACGAAGCAAATGCTTTCATCCCTCAAATAATTTGTGTGATGCACGTTTGTTTGCATTTTGCGCTCTTACTTCACCTTTTGCTTACGAAGTCTTCGAAGTATTTCACTACACTTAAACTTCGAAGACTTCGAGAACAAAAATTCACAAAAACTTCGAAGTTTTTTCCAACTTCGAAGACTTCGTTTACTATTCGAATATTCGAAGTCTTCGAATACTTCGTAAATTCGAATATGAACAGCACTAATTGATAATACCGTGTCATACGATACATTTGATTTATAATAATTTGGTAAGATAATATATAATTTCACTGAAAGACTATAAGAATTTTATAAGTTTTTATTCATAAATTTATAAAAATACTGTGTATCTTAACAAAAATTAGTGATGATTTCCTTGCTTACCCTATAATTGGCGAATAATGGTTCCTATTTCGGTGCCGTTAACGATGCAAGCAATATTCCAGCAGTGATTAGTCGGCAATGGGCAAACAAATGTAAGTGAGACAAGTAAGTGGAAGTTGGAATACACGCAGCAACATTAAGCGTAGCAGGACATCGGAAATTTGATGTTTACAATTTCCAGTGGAATATAATAAAGTTTTAAGTTGATGTGAAATCAACTTAAGTGACGTGTCCTTATTTAGATCCGATCGAATATATACTAAATGACGACGAGGGAAAAGTAAATCCGCGGACACGGTCTTATATTTATTAATTAATGATTATTAATTAATTAGAAATATTATTAAAAATAATAAATTAATAAATTAGTATAGCTCTATAGTAAATACTTAATTGATTATGGTGAACATTAAACACGCATTTAAAATTGTGTTAGGTAGAAATGGGTTTCATAAGTTACTAGACTAAAGGTTAACTAGATCTAACGCAGTGGCGTAACTACACGGAAGCGACTGAAAGCAACGCTTTCGGGCCCCCGAACTTAGGGAGCCCCATTATCAATTTATGTATTCATTATATTTATTTTTAATAAATTCTCAAAAGTGGGTCGAAACGTTTTATGTTGGAATAACATAAATTTTGGTTTTTGAACAAGGTTGCATTTGTAATTTCAAGAAAATCTTTAAAATTTCTTTGTGTTGACATTTAAGTGGAGCCAAGAAAAGAAAAGAGCAAATCGAATGAGAAGAAACATTAAAGAAATTACCAAAACTAAACAATTTTCTAAAAATATTTATTTTTTAGGTATCATATTTATTTAAATGATGCCTTTGCTAATTGTGATACACAGAATAAACTGACACATTGCAAATAGACGCTACGAAAATCTTGGCAAGCCTAATATACCCTTTTTGCACTTTTTCGTATAAAGGGTATAAAAAGATATTAGTAGGAGTTAGTTAGAATTATCTTATGGGTCTAAAAAATGTAGTTACGCCATTGATCTAACACTGGAATATTGCACAATAAAATTGTAAATTTAATTTCTCAAAATATAAACAATTTTTTTGTATTCCGGATTCTTCTAACTTTAAAACAGTTTCTTTTCATCATAAAGATGCATCAGGGGCAGAGGCAGAGATATGGTTTTATTTAAATGCATATCCCACATTCTGTAAGGCACATACAGTTCTTTTTGCATTAAGACACCAAGTAGAAGAAAAAATTTGGAGATTACAAAAGGTTTTTAATGCCAACATCTATATTTGCAAGTGGAAGCACATAAACACATAAGAATTTTTAACCGTGAATACGCATATTGGTATTATAGAATAGTATATGGATTGGAAACGACTTCTTAAATTTTTTCGGATTTTTTTAAGGTTGATTTTTTTTTGTCGAATGTGACACGTCTAAATACGAAAAGAAAGTAGAAGAGTTCGAACAGTAATGAAGAAGGAACCAACAAAAATTTGATTAATTTAATGAAATTTGGCTGACCAAACAACAATGGTCTTGGAAATATTCGAATTCTTTTTTAATTAGTTTATAGTCCATATGTTGTTGAAGTGCAAGTGATAGGCTTTGAACTCGTATATTAATAGCGAATATATATGTTCAAAAACTTGGAAGACGCCGTTTCGATATATGGAAAAACAAATTTCATAACTTAAAAAATTAAATTTCAAATTTGAACTATTATTAACCTCCATGGTTCTGAATACCTCAAAATCTACAAAAAATATATATATATATACAAAATAGACATAAAAAGTAAAAAAAATTTAAAGAGGGAGTATTGTTGTCTAGACAGTATTGTTTTTTGTGTTATTTTAAAATTAATAAAGCCACACTACAACTTATTGAATGCGAAAAAACTAACTGGGCAAGACTATTATAAAAATAGCAGAATTCCTGGAGGTGTTGGTATGCCAGTGACCAGTAGGTACCTATGTCAAAAAATCAGTATCACTTTTAGCCAGAAGCTGTATGTTAAAAGATGAAAAAGTAACAACCAAACAATTCCTAAGCAAATGTCACGATCTGGTAAGATCAAGACATTTTACTATTCCACTATGTACGAAATAATAAACCAGCATTTATCCCAAATATAGATCTTTCAAAAATAGTTTCCTTTATGAACCTTGTTGATTGATTTTAGAACTTAAATTTTCATATCCTGGTTTGTGGTATTATAATGACACCTATACGCTATTTGAACAGAGCTGGAAGCTTTGTGAATTGAATGCGCAGCACCCACTTAAAGAAAGAATTCCGCGGAAATATCAGCATTATAAAGCAGAGAACTTAGATTAATAAAGGTTTTCATAAATGTTTCATAGTACTTAGAAATATGCATTTTCTTGAGCAAGCTATTTCTTTGATGCTCAGATACTAACGTTTTCTGAAGAAAAAAATTAATGGAGTTCAGGAAATAACTTTTCTATAGCGATAGTACAAAGTGACATATAATAAACTTAAAAGAAAATGTTAATGAAATGAATCTATATTTATATAGTATATATGAATATCTATATATCAATAAGATTATTTAATGGTTATTGTAGGACGAAATTTGAATCCGAAAAACTTTATACCTACTAACAAAATCTGAGCAAACTAAATGGAAACTATTTATTTGATACCAAGAAAAAAGCTAAAATTTGAAGAAAAACGAATACTCTTATAACCCACTTCAGCTGAACTATTCATCTTAATCTATCCCATTTATTGCAATAAATAGCATTAAATTAATACAAGTTGCAATAAATGCAATGCGATTATTGTTGAAGTTGTATTGGAATATTATGCAAGTTGTCTGAGCTGGGCTTTTTTTTACTATGTCCTACGACAATTGTATAGACAACTTTATGACATTCGTCTCAATGTCATTGAACTTAACTGACTTTTGTAATATTAGCCACTTGGACATAGACTTAAGTTATTTTAATCTCATTACATTTGATTTTATTATTTATATTTAAAAAAAAAGAAAAAATCAAGTACAAAATGTTATATAAAAATTGTAAATATTTTTCTAGGACATAGTAAGTAATTATGTATTTTTATTAAATTGATTAGTTAAAAATATTTTGAAATAATACTAAGTAGCAATAACTAAAGCAATAAATTACAATCGTGAATAAATTTAGTTTGCAAACAATAAATTTAAATGGAATTGCAAAGAGTATTTACTCAAAAATTATGATTTATCGGCGTGATTTGTTCATTGTGATTTTCTTGAATGTGCACCGATTCACTGAGCTCAACATTCGCGTGAACCGCTGCATCATTGGCGTTAATTTGAGCCTCTTGTGCAGATTGTGTAGCTTTAGCTGCTGCCTCTTTTGTTTCTTCATAGTCTAGACGAGCCGAATATAAGTGTGATTCAACTTGCTCCAATTTAGTCTTTGCTTGTGCCACCATGTCAATTTGTGAAGCCAATTCTGCAGCTGCTTCGGAAGCAGCTTTCTGAGCAAGTTCAGAAGCAGCCTGTGCATTATTAAGTGCAGCAGTTAGTACTGAAACGTGATTAATAGCCTGCTGTGCTGCGTATTGCGCACTTTTCGCGGCTCTCTTCGCTTGCTGCAATTGAGTTAATTCACTTTCCATTATTTTATGTGTTTCACTGTTTTGTTCTTCAAGTCTATGGAGCAGCACTTCTTTGCCTTTAAGCACGGCTACGGCAGTACTAGCTGCTTGTGCTGCGGCTTGTGCCAAAGTGCTTTTTGCCACATACGCTGCTTGCTTGCCAGCTGCATTTTGACTTGCGACTGCTGAGTTTGCTTGATCTGCAGAACCCTTGGCAATATTACGTAGACCGTTATCAATATAAAAGCTACTTCCTCCACCACTGCTGTGAACAATGGGGAAATCTTTTTCAAAATATGTTACTTGTTGAGAAGGTTGTTCTTCATTGTGTTGTTGCACATTCTCAAATTGATAAGGCTGGGATGTATCTACAATTGTTATTTGGTGTGGGTGTGGAGCTGGAGGAGGTGGGGGTACATTAAGATGGTAATTTCCTTTTCTTTTTACTTTTCGTGCCAAAACAAAATAGTTTATATCTAAATGATAAAAAAGTAAAAATATTCATCCTTAGCAATATATACAATGAATACATACCAAATATTAAGATTAAAATAGTTAACCGTAAAATCGCTGACATGTCGGTTACAAATATATAATGAAGTTCTGTAGCTTTCAATTTTATTCAAAGTTTCAACTCCAAATATTTATTATATAGTGCAGTTTATCCCTTGTACGACCAGTTCAAAAAATTTTTATATTGCTTATTGAATGTTCTTGTAAAGATATTCACTTAAATTGAGTCAAATATTTCAATATATTTTTGTATATGTATATTCATATATCATGTATTGTCGATAAAGAAATTCATTAAAAATAAATTTAAATAATAATAAGCTGTGTAAATATATAAACTAACTACTATATGTAACTTTAAAAAGGTTTTTATGCGACAGAAAAAATAAAGGAAAATAACACTCATAATCTCCGATCCGAAAATATATATCACATACTAACCAAATACTCATAGATTGCGTTGATTTTTTTAGAAAAACTAATCAAAAATTTTTTTTAAATTTATTTTTTTAGATAATTTCACATCGATATTCTGGTACAAAGTAAAAAATGAAGTTTCTTACGTTGTTTCTAATATTTCTGAGTTTATCAATACTAACTGCGGACTGTTATAAGAAGGGAAAGGTGAGATATTATATTAGTCTGTTCACAAGTGTTAAATTCACAATCATTTTAAACAGCGTAAACGCAATTTGAAGCACATTGTGCAGAGTTACTATGCGGATTTTGCTCCAGCCAGTGGCGAATCAAGTGCTTCGGAAAATTCAGAAGGTGGTGGAAACGGTAATGGCAATGGAAATGGTTGTGAAGACAAATGCAATAGTGGTCCGGGTGGGGGAAACTCAAAACAAAAAGCCACCAACATAGCACAAAAAGCTGCCCAAGAAGCCAAGGCTGCTTCTGAAGCACAGGCAGCTGCTGGTCAAGCCGCTGCTCATCAAGTGAAGGCTCAATTGGCTGAAAAAGCGATGGCTGCCGCAAAGGCAGCAGAAGCGGCATTAGCTGGTAAACAACAAATTGTGGAACAACTAGAGCAAGAAGTGCGTGAAGCAGAAGCTGTTGTGCAAGAGGAGAGCGCATCACTACAGAGTGCTCAATGTAATGTTAATGCTGCAATGCAAGCTGTACAGCAAGCTCAAGCTCAATTGAAGACCCTAACACAAGCTGTCCGCACAGCGCAAGCAAATGTTGGCAACTCAGAACAAGCAGCGCAGGGAGCACAGCAAGAACTTGCCGAAAAGACACAACTAATGGAGGCAGCCAAAAACCGTGTTGAACAGTTACTACGCCAAATGAGTCAAGCACGAGCCGATCTAGCCAACACAAAGCAAGCCGCATATAAAGCTGCACGAGCTGCACATGAAGCCCAAGTAAACGCCCAGCGGGACACTTGTTAGTAGCGCATCAAAACCAATCGAAATTTCCCCTATTTTATATCAAACACATGAATTTTTACATGCATTTTAAAATAATTATATTTTTATGATACATTAAAACCCGTTATGTTACCTAAACTTCTTGCTTTTAGTGTTGCTTTTCTGTGCACGCAAATAAGGTATAATGAAATCTACTTCTACTATATATGTAAGCCGTATATCTTATACAACACAACTTCACTTTCAGATTATATTAAATGAGCAATGCAAGCGCTTTAACTGTTCTGTTGCACTAACGAATTACTTCTAAAGTCCTCTATTTTTTCGATTGGAGGCGAACATTAAATTTTTTTGCAAATTCAATGTTAATAAACAAGCTTTGCCTGGCATAAAGGAAAATACTTTTACTTTTGCTGGAAATTCCACTTTCCATTTTTTCACATGAACGAAAATTACAAAATATGGACAAGTGCAACTGTGAAGTCGTTAGACTGCCACGTCGATGTGATTGGATGGTACTTAACACTGCTATGTAGTGTTATATTTACTTGGATAAAAATAGCGTTGAGGTTCGAAAAGTAGTTGGTCAAACTAACTAGCAATTAAAATTGAACATTTCACTTAAGTTTTGATAGTTAAATCCGCTTTTTTTTCTAATATATGCACAGATGGACGACGACCGTTTAATCTATGCTTGAATGATATTGAAACTTTCCTTCGACGAAATTTCTATGTACGAGTATGTGTGCTTTAACTGAATGCTAGGTAATTAACATTCAAGCATTTACTGTCATTCACTTCGCATGAAATATTTTCACAATGAAAGTGCAAATTTAATGCATTTACAGGCAAGTCAACGTACCCGGTCATTTGGTTTTCTTGAGCGTTAAAAGTGTCTTTCGAATGAAAGTTTTCAACAAAAACTAATTACTTTCGTAAAGAAATATTTATTGATATGAACCAGAGACAAGATGCGGAGGTGTGCAGCGCACACCATAACATAATTTGCAAAATGTCAAATAAGATATATAAATTTATCACAATATCTTTACATCGAGAATTAAAATTATTTATTACATTTACATATACATATATATTTTTAAAGACTAAAGTGTTAGCAAAAACAATTAAATAGAGTTGTCTATGAAAAGTCAATTATTTTCTTCTCTTAGCTGTTATAGTTGTTAGGCCTGCCCATAAGTTTGCACCTCAAATCGCAGAACATTTCTATTAAATTTCGTCTTTCCCGTTTAAACAATTGCGTTCGCAAATTTATGTCGTTAGTTGTGCGTAACAGTAGAATCGACAAAATACGTTGTAAGTGCGTCCGAGTTTCCAAGAAAAGTTAGAATTGGTGCAAGTTGGAATGCCAACACCAAAACTTCCAAATATGACTTGCGTAAGTAAATACTAAGACAGAAACTTCAGTAGACGTTTTCATTCATCCAATTACGATGAGAAATCTTAGTTATGTGACTGTCCTTTAAAAAATAATTTGTTTAGCTGACCATACCTTTTATTTACTACATCTAAAGAGGGAGGAATTTGGACTTTTGGATACAGTTACTTAAATTATTTAGCTACTGCTATGAATATACATCAACTGACACAAGTATATATTATTGTGTTGTTTCCTTAAAAACGTTTGGAAACAAGGATTGGGTTTTCTCTACACGAATAACAAAAAATAACAACTCGACACAATCAACAGGTTTCATAAAACTGTGAAATTTTAGAATATCTAATAGATTGTGTTTGCTTTTTGGGACTCAAGAGCTTGCTTTTAAAGGCAATTATGAATACGAGTTCGAATAACAAAGGAAATTATAAAAAGCTGATCAACTTGTTTGCTAAATATGATAAATGAGAACATCATTTAACTACTGTGTTGTGTCCGCCTCTTGATATTTCGACGCTCTCAGAAACCGTTCATGGTACGGTGACTAGCCTGGTATGCTCGTCGATTTTGCGGTGGGGTCCTTGACAACATATTTCATACACCTATATCAGAATTTATAAAAACCAACAGAGAACACCGCACCCTTATTATTGCTTTCCCACATCCATTTCGATTTCAACTTTCTCTATTATCTTTATTTTCTTTATGTATTTTTGTATAAAAAATCTATAAAAAAAAACCTATGTATACAAAAAAACCTACACCTGAGAATAGTAGCTTGTAAAATTTTTTTGCAATATATATACGATTTATATGTTTATATATGATTTATATACGGTTCGTCTTCAAAATTTACTATGATAAATTAATAATTATTACTCAAAAAAAAAATGAATTTATTTCACAACAGAAAATCCAAAATTCGTTTATAAGTAAAAAAAAAATAAAAATATTAATAATAAAAATTAAATAATGCAGTAAAAAAATTAATTAAAAAAATAAAAATAATTAATTACAATTTAAAAAAATATTTAAAAGTTAAAATGAAATTGCTGAAAATTAAAACATTAAATTGTATATATATAAAGTTTAACTTTAATTGAACTAAAGCCGTAATTTTCTCTTTCAGGGCAGAAAAAAAATAACATTAACTCTGGTTGATGTTGAATGCTTTTGTTTGATATATATTTTTTGTTGTGCTGTGTACAATATGATATGATACGAACGACTTGAATTTTGAAACATATTTTCAGTGAACATTCACAATAGACTAATTATTGCACTTGGTCGCATTAAAACTTTAGTCAAATATTTTTGCGATTAATATATAACTCTGAGGATTTTAAGAGCACTGTTGTTGCTTCACATTAGTGCTGTTCATATTCGAATTTACGAAGTATTCGAAGAAATTCGAATATTCGAATAGTAAACGAAGTCTTCGAAGTTGAAAAAAACTTCGAAGTTTTTGTGAATTTTTGTTCTCGAAGTCTTCGAAGTTTAAATGTAGTGAAAAACTTCGAAGACTTCGAAGACTTCGTAAGCAAAAGGTGAAGTGAGAGCGCACAATGCAAACAAACGTGCATCACACAAATTATTTGAGGGATGAAAGCGTTTGCTTTGTTTGTACGGTTTTATGTTTTTTGTTGTTATTCTATGCAGAAAATTATTGTTTTATTTTATTACATAAAATTTATTTTATTATTAAATATGTATTATAATATACATTATTATTAAATATGTTATTATTAAATATTTTTTATATTAAATAAAAAATTCACATTTTAAATAACTTATATTTATTATTTATATTTAAAAAATCATATTTGAGAAAATTTTTATTATAATATAAAATATATACGTAATAATATGAAAATATTGATATTGATGGATTTTATTAGTAATGGAATTTTATAAAAATTTTCATTTTCCTTTAAAAAGAAAATCACAAATTAAAACCTTGAAAATTAGTTATGGAAAAATGAGTTTTGCTCATTAATGCCTAATTATTTGACCTGTATGAGCTGTGATGATCACGCAGGTAAGCGCAAATTTATTTTTGCATTATAAAATTTTGAATGTTTTGTTGTAGTTACAGTTATTTTACTGTTTATGGAAAATTTTTAAATCCCTTATTCTAGGAAAAGAAATACATAATATTATAAGGAAGTATCTAAATAAAATGTAAATTAGTGTATAAGCAAAATTGTATAAAAGAAATTCCATCAAATTTTCATGTATTTTATATTATATTAAAAATTTTCATAAATATAATTTTTTAAATATAAATAATAAATATAAGTTATTTAAAATGTGAATTTTTTATTTAATATAAAAAATATTTAATAATAACATATTTAAAAATAATATATATTATAATACATATTTAATAATAAAATAAATTTTATGTAATAAAATAAAACAAAAAAACATGTTTTTAATTTTCTGCATAGAATAACAACAAAAAACATAAAACCGTACAAACAAAGCAAACGCTTTCATCCCTCAAATAATTTGTGTGATGCACGTTTGTTTGCATTGTGCGCTCTCACTTCACCTTTTGCTTACGAAGTCTTCGAAGTCTTCGAAGTTTTTCACTACATTTAAACTTCGAAGACTTCGAGAACAAAAATTCACAAAAACTTCGAAGTTTTTTCCAACTTCGAAGACTTCGTTGAAATGCGAATATTCGAATATTCGAAGAACTTCGAATTTTTAAAAACTTCGAATAATGTGAACAGCACTACTTCACATGTGTTCTCTTTCCCTATTATGAAAGAAAAAAATACTGCTGATATATACTGCTATGTTTGTTGTGATTTGCTCAGTTACAATTTACTTGTCTTACTTACACTCTGCAAAGTGTCAGTTGCTAAATTCTATTTGTAGAATACAATTACAACTAAATTATTTTTTTAAATTTAATATTAGGTGTATTCTTTTGAAATGATCGCTTCAAAAAAACACAGATTGCTTAAAAATTAACATGCAAAGCAAAAACAAAATGCACTAAAGTAAGCCCACTTTCCTGAAAGTGATTAACGAATAACCCCTTCGCGCTACAATGATGCCAAATCTTAAAACTGATCTGTTGTGAATAATTTTTGTAAGAAAATTAAAAACTCCAATCAGCTGTTTATTCTGATTAGTACTGTTCCGAGTACTAATGAGTAAATTTAAATATTTTAAAAACGTGACTTTTTTAATAAAATTTGTGAAAATGACTGACAGGTTAGTAATTGTGAAGAAGTTAATGATTTTTTAATGAATTTTGAATTCATTAAAAATTAAAAATGTGTTCATTAAAAAATGCAATACATGAATAAATACTAAACACAATCGTTAAAAAAGCAAATGATAGCAAATTGTTATAAGACAATTGCAAGAAAAATAAAACAGTCTTAAATACTGTCCATTTAGCATTAACTAGTGATATTACAAGCTTGAAAATTATGTAAACGAATTTATTGCCTAAATACCTTATTAAATTAAAACAATTACTGCATTCAATTTTACTATTCAACAAAATAAATTTACCTGAAATTTCTTTTTATCTATTTGTAGTTGCATGACGAGACCATTGGTTTTTTGCTGTGCTCATGGCAAGAAAGACATTCTCACATTTAACATTACTGTAAATTGAATATGCAAATACATAGTGACGAGAGAAAATTTGTTTTTCCATTTTTAGGTCTTAGTCATAAACGTCTCTATGTTAAAAGGGCAAAATGCGAACTCTGAC